GAGATAGCACGAGAGGGAAGAGGGTCAGAGGGAAGACGGTCAGAGGGAGAAGCAGACCCCCTGCCGAGCAGGGAGCCCGATGCGGGACTCGATCCCGGGACTCCAGGATCATGACCTGAGCCGAAGGCAGTCGCCCAAGCAACTGAGCCACCCAGGCGCCCCACCCATCCATGCTTTTAATAAAAGCCACACTGTGTGGAGAATTTAGCTTTTCCTATTCCAAATGAAAAAAAAAGACTTATAATTTATGATTGGTGATGAAATTCTGCACATAAATAATTTTAAAGAGGGATGGAGTGGTGGTTGGGTAAATTAATATGTTTTAAACCTGTTTCTTGTGGGTCAGGAATCCTTAATGAGAAGGTTCCTTCTTATTTTGACTATAAAACTTCAAAGGACTTTTTAGAAAATCTGCTTCATTCAGTCTTTCCCAGTCATTAAAAATTTAAGTTCTGCAACTGTTGTCCCTCTAGTCATATGGCTGATTGGCCTTAAATACAACTACAGAAAGGGGCGCCTGGGTGGCTCAGTTGGTTAAGCATCTGACTCTTGGTTTCAGCTCAGGTCATGATTTCAGCGTCATGGGATCCAGCCCTGAGTTGGGCTCCATGCTCAGCACAGAGTCTGTTTGTCCCTCTCCCTCTGCTCCTCCCCTTGCTCTTTCTTTCTCTCTCTCTCTAAAATAAATAAATAAAATCTTTAAAAAGAAAACCCAACTACACATGGGAAAAACATAGGAATATAGAGATAATACACTTCACATTATAGATGACTTTTGGGATACTTGACTTAATAAAAATTAGTAACTGGCAGGGACCAGTTTTAAGATATATGGGATCTCAAAAGAGCTTTGTTTAAGCTCTATACAAAGAGTTTTGTTTATTTCTCATGTTCCTTTCCTTAGAAAGCTGTAGAGGAATGCTCTATCAAAATTAAGGAGTAAACCTAGAAATAAGGAGACTTGGGATCCAAGAAACCAGGGATTTAACCCAGGAGAGAGGAATCCTGAGAGGATGCCAAAGGGAAGTTCCAGTATCACAGTTGTACTGAAGGCTGAGGAGAGCACTTAGTCCAAATTGGAGCAGGAGGACAGAAGTTACCAGGAAGGGATACTCCACAGAAACAAAAACAAAACAAAACATTGATAAAAGAAATATAGGTATAGTGCATCATTTTCCTTGGCAGTGAAAAGCACATGCGAGCCATAATACTAAAAAAAAAATATATGACTTTAATGGAGAATGTGTTATGACTCTGAAGATGCAGCTGGAGTGGGGAGAAATATTCTGTACGAAGTTGATGTAAAAGACTAAGTTCTCACTTTCATATTTGAGAGACCATAGTTTCTAAAACTGAAAAATTAATAGTGCTATAAGTATTTTATTTAGAAATACGGAGATAAATACCAAATGAAACTACCAAAAAAGTTCAAAGTGGTTGCCACTTGAAAAGGGGGACAGAACTTGTTTCTTGTTATAAGTCTTATTTGATTTTTTAAATACACAATAAAAATAAATATTAAATTTAAAAAAGAAAAAGCCCTTTCACTTGACTGACAGTTTGGCTAGATACAGAATTCTAAGCTGGACATGTTTTCCTTCAGAAGTTGTAATGCAATGCTCCATTATCCTCTAGCTTCTGATGTTGCTACTGAATTTTAGTATGGAATTGAATGTGAGCCCCCTCCCTTTTATTTTTTTCATTTCAGGAAGATTTTAGGATATTCCTATTATTCTCAGTGGTCTAAAATTTTATGATGGTATGTCTTGGCATAGTTGTGTTTTCATCTGTTGCATTGGTCATTCAGTGGATTCTTCTAATCAAATGTCCTTCAACTCTGAGAATTTCTGTTGTATTATTACTTTGACTTTTTTTCCTTCTTCCTGTTAGCCCTTAAATTTCTGAATTAAGATCTTAGATCTGCTGGATGGATCCTTTAATTTTCTTATTTTTTCTATTTTCCTTCCTTTTTGTCTCTTTGTTCTACTTTCTGTTCCCTAAACATTTCTTTTTGTATGGCATTCTATTCTTGTTTTATGTTTATTCATGTTTATGTCATCATGTTTCCTAAGCTCTTTAACAGAATAGAGAAGTCATTTAAGCAGATATTATTTAAAAGATGGTGAGAAGCTTGTCTCCATATCCACTGAAAACATAAGGGAGTAAAATAGCCTTAAGATACATAATGAGTAATATTTTACATAGAGGGGAATCAAAGTAGGGTGGACATCCAGGATTTGGTGTGCTCATCTTCTCCTTTTGAAAGCTGTTCCCCTTTCCACACTGTCATCCATATGGTTCTATCAGTACCTACCATGATGTGTGACTTTCTCTGCCACTCACGTGATTAGTCTGGGGTAGGGACCGGATCCAAGGTGATTTAATCACAATTTTTCTCTGGGAAACTTTTAAATCAGAACTGAGAAAAAGCAACCAGTATTTTTCTGGGCACCTAAACCATAAGATATAGAAATTGGCAGTTCTTAGGAACCATGTTTCCTGCCAGATGAACCTGAGAAGCAGTGGAATTCTGCAGCAAAAACTAGCACAGAAGCACAAGCAGCTGCACAGAGAAAGGCAATTAGTGGAAAAGGAGATAAGGGTCTCAGAGGCATCAGGATCCGCTGTTCCTGAGCGAAGTCACATCTCTGTCCTAGGGATCTCAATATCCTCATTAAATTCTCCTTTTGGCTTAAGCTAGTTTGAGTTGGCCTCTCTCTCCACGGTAAAAAATCCCTCCTAACTAACACACTCAGTTTATTTGATGCTTTCTGTGAACAAGGCAGTGTATTAACGCTTTATAAACTTTATCTCATTGAACCTCTCTGAGGTTGGTAAAATTATTTTACACATGAAGAAATTTTACAACTCCAACTGCTGTATAATAGACGCCACTATCTAGATGTCCCCTGGTGTAAATCAGCATGTCAAAAACACACCACTTCTCCATCTATAAAATGGGAAAGCGGTTCTCGCTGCCTGAACTGCTCTTTTTCCTACAGACACCTAGCTAACTCCCTCTTACCTTGAGGCGTCAGCTTATATGTTCTCAGAGGAGACTGTCCTGCCTCCCCGATCTCGAGTAGGTTCCTCAGTAACACCTTCTTTCCTTCTCCAACAATGTAATCACACAGTTAGTATTTCGTTTAGTTCTTTTCGTTTGCACTCGCCTGTGCGAGACTATGAAGAATCCAGGATGGCGGGGCCTATACAGTGCTGTCTGCCACTGAGGCCCCTGCATCTAGCACTGTCCCTGGCACATGGAAGTGGCTCCATAAAATGTGTCTGGAGACATTAAATACTTCTTTTTTTTTTTTTAAAGATTTTATTTATTTATTTGAGAGAGAGAGAATGAGAGACAGAGAGCATGAGAGGGAAGAGGGTCAGAGGGAGAAGCAGACTCCCTGCCGAGCAGGGAGCCCGATGTGGGACTCGATCCCGGGACTCCAGAATCATGACCTGAGCCGAAGGCAGTCGCTTAACCAACTGAGCCACCCAGGCGCCCCGAAGATTTTATTTATTTATTTGAGAGAGAGAATGAGATAGAGAGAGAGCATGGGGGGGGAGGGTCAGAGGGAGAAGCAGACCCCCCGCCTAGCAGGGAGCCCGATGCGGAACTCAATCCCTGGACTCCAGGATCATGACCTGAGCCAAAGGCAGTTGCTTAACCGACTGAGCCACCCAGGCGCACGGAGACATTAAATATTTCTAAATATTTTCTTTTATGTATCTATGAGGCTAGAGTCAACAACTTTCAACACCTATTCTTGAGGGAGTAGTAACATGCAGGGCACTCTGCCAGGCCCTAACTGAGCCAAAGACACAGAAGAAGATATGACTTCTCTCCTGCAGGGGTTCACAGTAGAGCGTGAGGCTCAAGCAATTATAATACCAGGGGAGAAGATTTATAACAAGGATAAAAACAAAGTGCCATGGTTACAAGGGAGGAAATAATCGGGATATAATCCAGGAAGTTAAAGTGAGGAAAGGAAAGAAAGGAATTGCCAGGGTTGCCATTCAAATGGTTAGATTCTTTATGTCTCTATCCTATACAGCTTTTCCCCATAACCCTTCCAATTTATAAGACCTGGAGCAGAGTGACAGTAAGGATCTTCGCAAGTAGTGGTATATGAAAACTATAATTTTCTTGAATCTTAGGATCATCTCTATCATTTGCCTTATCTCCATATCACTCTGCAAAGACAACGAGTCTAGCTGCCCGCCTCAGCCCAGGATTCTTCAGAAAAGCCCAGGCCTGTATTACAGGTCAGGACTTTTTTTTTTTTTTTCCCCCCCACACTGCCAGATCTGCTTTCCTGATTCTGAGATTAGAGGACAATGGCTTTGATCCCTTTTAACACTCAAAGAATAATGCTCCTCTGTCACAACGCAGTCCCAAGTATTCTCATTACAGTGGGTAGTTTTGCGGACAATTACCTGTCTGATGCTTGTTTTCTCTCCCACTCATCTCTAACATAGTGCTCCATCAATGCAGATTAGGGACTATTCCTCTAGCTATGATCTAGAATAGAATTCTTCTTTCTCTATCTTCCCTACATCTATATTACTTGTCAGGGACATTTCAAATCAAATCTTTCTTTGGGGTTTGCTTGTTGATATGTGTGAGTGATTGGGGTTGATGGGAGGGAAAACAAATGGTTTTGGCAAATCATCATTATAGCTAGTAAAACCTACAAAGGATGCAACAGGAGGAAAAATGTAGATATTATGTAACTGTGTGCCTTTTTAATCTCAGAATTTTAAATATTTAACACCGTCACTATGTACTTAACATCAGTGGTCTTAGAAATTAGACTCCCCCCTCAAAAAAGACTTTCCAAAAAGGCCCCACTGAAATGGAAAAAGTCTAATGTTCGAACTTTAAACAACTATGAAATGAAAAAAAAAAAAAAAAAAAGCATTTTCAAAGTTAAAATATTTTCCTTTCAAACCAAAACTTGCTTCATCTATTGATTCATCAAATATTAATTGGTACACACCTGAAAGGTCAGCTTTGTATCTTGGTTGAGAGCCCCAGCTCTGGCTGCTGATAGAATTCCATCTTTCCCATTTATTAGTTCACTGTCCTTGGGCGAGTTACTTAGCTTTGTGTGCTTAGTTCCCTCATCTGTAAAATGGATATAAATATTAGAATTACTTCACAGATTATATATATAGTGTTTAAGAATATTTGACACCACATCAGTATAATTATTCTTACCCTTAATTTTCTTTCAGCCCTGAGGTGAATGCCAAGTATTTCTGGAGGGCACTGAAAATTCCTTGAAGTGAAACTATTTGATTAAATTAAATCCTAAATGCGAGTGCATCCTGTATCTCTCTAAATAGGGGCACAGAAAATGGATAACCAAGGAACAGTCAGAACTCCAACACGGAAAGGGGACAATCCCCTCCTCCTCTGCGTTCTCCCAGGTGCCTTACAGAATGCTAAAGCCTCGCAAATAGATGGGCTCCTCAAATTTAAGTTCGCGGTCACCTTTAAAGTCCTCCAGGGAGCTACAGGCCTGGGTCCGCGGCCAGCTCTAATCTCCCATCCCGGTGATCCCAAGGCGCCCCTTCTCTCGGGTTATCCCGCCCTCCTCCGTCCCGCCTTCCCTCACTCGGGTCTCCTGCCCCGGTGCGGCTCGCCCGCAGCGCCCCGCGAACCCCAGGGGTCCCCGGGCGCCCCAGCACCGCGGCGGGCCGGGCCGCGCCACTGCGCATGCTCCGCGCCGCGCGGGTGGGGTGCCCGGGGCCGGGAGGCGGGCGCTGGGCGTGGGTCGCGCTCGTCTGGGAAGGCCTCCGCCTGTCGCGGGTCACGCAGCGGCGGGAGAGCGCGCTTCGGGGCGGCGGCGTCCTGGAGACCCCCGAGAGATGGAAGCGGCGGCGCCGGCGGCGGCCGAGGCGGCGGGGCGCGAGGAGCTCGGTGGGTGCTGCGTGCCGGCCGGGGCGCGGGGCCGCGTGCCCGCGGGATGCGCCCGGACTTCGGGCAGGCGCTCGGCCTCGGCGGGGAAGGCGGGTGCTGGCGCCGGGCCGCCGCCGCCCCTCCCCACGCGCGTGGCCCGGCCGCATCCGGGTCCGAGCGGCTGGTCGCCGGACCCGGACAGTCGCGGGTGGCTTTCCTGTGGCCACGGGATGTTTCTGGTCGAGGCTCTTGGGGTCGTGGGTCTGGCACGGGTTTGAACTGAAAACCCAGCCGAGCAAACCTCCCCGGAACATGGGGTGAGCTGAGGCTCGGGAGGTGAGCGACCTCGGGACCGCGCCCGCGCAGGACCCCGCTGACCAGGGAGCTGGGCCGGCGACAAGCGGGGCCTACAAAGGGCATCAAATGGGAGCGAGCGCACGCGCGAGTGTGTGTGTGTGTGTGTGCGCGCGCGCGCGTGTTGGGGGTTGGGGTGCGTTGTGTATGCACGTCAAAAGGAGAGCCTGCTCTGGGATTCTCACCGTTTTCCCTAGTGATGCTTGAGGCCTTTCATGCGCCGCAGCCCCATTCCGAGTCCCAGGTGAACCCTTCATTTACCCTGTGCCACCCCCGGAGTGACAAGCGCGACGTGCCGACCGGCCCGGACGCCGGATACCTGTAGCTAGCTCGCTTGCCCAAGTTTGTTTTCCTGCTGTCCTCTGATCTGGTCTTATCTTCCTGGCGACTGGGAATGCAAAAACATTGTGGTTTCCTGCTGTCAAAAGGAAAACAAAAGCGAGGGTCAGGGTAGTCGTGTCATTGTTCCGCCCAGTTATATGCATTATATTTAGGAATATTTTTAATTCGATGCGGAATGATTAAATGATTTTTTAAAAGTTGAGCTTTAAAGCCACATTTCATTATAGTGACTAATAGGTTGGCGTTCCTGTAATAATGGGCAGGGCACTCTGCAGGTAATTTCTTTCAAGTCATAATAATGGTGAAATAAACTTAGCATTTTATTGATTGTTTACTCTGTGTCCAGCAGCACGCTAAGTGCTTTACATATGCATTGTTTCCTTTAATCTTTAACACAATTGGGTGAGGTAGATGCTATTATTATCCCCATTACAGTAATTTTAAGTTAATTAATGGCAGAACCCAGATATGAACCCAGGTTCATCTGACTGTTTTAAATTCACTAATAACACATCTCAGGATGTGGAGAAATGTGCATTCTCATGGGTTGCTGGTAAGAGCAGTATAATGCATTCGTCCTTAAAAATGCACATATCCTTTGACCCAGCAATTTTACTTCTAGAAATATTTCCCAAGGAAGTAAGTCATGTAACACTTACATCAAGAGATGTTCACTACATTATTTGTAGTTGAGAAAATCTGGTAACTATCTAAATGTCCAGTTAAAGGAAAATGTTTAGGTAAACTGTGATATAGCCATATAGTCATGTACTGAATAGCCATTAAAAGTAGTATGGGAAGATGTTTACCATATACATTTTTATTAACTGAGAAAAGTTTCCAAATTATTTCTTAAAAGTTATGTCTGTTCATTTAATATATATTCAGCAAGCTTCTCCTATGTGCCAGACACTGTTTTAGGCACTTGGGATATATCTGATACAGATCAAAATTCCTATTCTTGTGGGGCTTGTATTCTAGTAAGAGGGAGCACACAATAAACAGTAAAGACTAATTATATATTATGTTAAGTGAAAAGTGCTATGGGAAAAAGGGCAGAGTAAGAGAAATCAGAAGTCAGGGTGGGGGCTGGGCAGTTCTAGTATTTTATAAAATGGTCAGGATGGATCATATGGAAGCAGTGAGGTTTGTGTAAAGACTTGGAAGAAATGAAGGAACAAGTCAAGTGGAAATCTGGGGAAAGGTATTCCAGGCAGGAAGAATAGCTAGAATAAAGACAAATAGCAAAAAGGCTAAGATGGCTGAAGTGGGATGATCAAAGTGGTGATGAGGCCAGGTTATGTAGGGTCTTAGAGGTCATGTAAAGACTTTGGCTTTTATTCTGAGAGAATGGGGAGCCATTCTCCCCCTGCTGCAAGGTATCTGACTTAAATTCTAAAAGGATTACACTGTAAGGGGCAGAAGTAAAAGCAGATGGGTATTTCTGAAATGCAAGAAAGAGATGTACCTCTTCCTCACAGAAGTATGCTTGTAGCAGTGGGAGTGGAAATGGTTAGACTCTGGATATACTTGAATGTAGAACCAGCATGATTTCCTAATGGACTGGATAAGAGTTGAGAGTCAAACAGGAAGCAAAGATGACTCCAGGGACCTGAGTATCTGGAAGAATGAAATTGCCATCAACTCGGATGTTATGGTGGTTTTATAGAATGTCTACAGATTTTTTGATGTTTGTCTCTTCAAGAGGAATAATTTAATTTTCTTCCCTTGGAATGTGGATTGGATTTAATAACTTGCTTCTAATGGATAGATGATGGTGGAAGTGATAATGTGTGACTTCAAAGCCAGATTCTAAAAGACATTGTGCCTTGCTCTCTCTTTTTTGGATTACTCACTTTGGGGAAGCCAGCTGCCATGTTGTGAGGATACTCAAACAGATGTTGAGTAGGCAATTAGATTTATTTCTAGAGTTAGTGAGAGGTCTGGTCTAGAGATAAAAATTTGGACGTCATCAGCATGTAGATAGTATTTAAAGCCATGGGACTGAATGAGAACGTACAGGAGGTGAGTGTATTTGTGTATACTCTAAAATGTTACCAGTGGTTATTTTTGGGTGGTGAGGTAATTTTAATTTCAAAAATATTGCTTATTTACATATATTCTGATTTTCTACATGACCAAATATTATTTAATTTAAAAAGGATTTTTTAAAAATTGGATATCTATGTAAAAGACACTGGTAGAGATATTAAGATACAGGTTTCCTTAAGCTACACAAATAGCCATTTGTGTAGCTTAAGAACTACACTTTATTTCATGGGCAGTGGGGACCTCTGGAAGGCTTCTTGCTGTGCATGTTTTTACCACTTCAGAAATGAATAAGATAGTTACTGTTTCCATCTTACATATATAGTAGTTTGTAGATTTAGATAGCTACATTATGTTGTATTAAAAAAGAATTATTTCTACTTTGTTTTAGTTTGTTTAGTTTGTCCACTGTCAAAATATAAATGATTTCCTTTATTTTGCTATTATAAAAGTAGTAAGTTTATTACTTTCTTTTTTTTTTTGCATTTTCCAGAGAAAGACAGTAAAAAGTACTCATGATCCCATTGCACATCTCTATCCTTGTTAACTTACTCCCGTTTTTTTTTTTAAGATTTTATTTATTTATTTGACAGAGACACAGTGAGAGAGGGAACACAAGCAGGGGGAGTGGGAGAGGGAGAAGCAGGCCTCCCGCTGAGCAGGGAGCCCGATGTGGGGCTCCATCCCAGAACCCTGTGATCATGACCTGAGCCTAAGGCAGACACCTAATGACTGAGCCACCCAGGCGCCCCAACTTATTCCCATTTTTTTAAAAAAAATATTTATTTATTTTAGAGAGGGCGTGAGAGAAAGCTGGCAGGGGGAGAGGGAGAGAACTCTCAAGTCAAGTGGGTACTAAGCGTGGAGCCTGACACAGGCTCACTCTCATGACCCTGAGATCATGATCTGAGCTGAAATCAAGAATTGGGTGCCTAACTGACTGAGCCACCCAGGCACCCCTTATTCCCATTTTTGATATATTTCCTTGCTTCCATTTTAAATTAACTTTTTAAAACATCACTGAATTCATACTGTGATTATCCAGCTTTTTCACACTCAGCATGATATACTTTTCCCTGTTTCAGTCGGACTTCAAAACTATAATTTAGTGTCAGTGTAATACTTTATAAAGTGGAGGTCCTGTAGTTAATTTAGCAATTTCCTGATTGTTGCACATTTAGGTTGTTGCCAAATTTTCAACATAAATAATGTTTCAATCAACATCTTTGTGCAGAAATCCTTTTTTCTATATACTGGCTTGTCAGAAGTGGAATTACTAGGTGAAAGGATAAACATTTTTAAGATTTCAAGACATATTGCTAAATTAATGTGATTTTCTTTAATTCTAACTACAACTAGAAATTTAGGTTGATTTTAGGTTGGGAGATTGAGGTTGAGACAATTGTCTGGGCAGTGTAGGAGATCATACAAGTACTGCCTAATATAAGAATGTTCCAGTTTTATGCACCATTAATGTATATGTATGGTATATCATATATGGTGTATAATATTGAATGAAGCTAGTGTTTCTTATTCATACATAATTTTTCCATTTGTAAATAGAAATAACTGTGTTTAGGTAGTTTGATACCCATTGCTTAATAGTGTTTTATCTTATAAAACATTGTTAATTCTTACCTATAGTAATCACATAGCACTTTTTAGAACTGCCAGTTCAGGGCGCCTGGGTGGCTCAGTTGGTTAAGCGACTGCCTTCAGCTCAGGTCATGATCCCGGGGTCCTGGGATCGAGTCCCGCATCGGGCTCCCTGCTCTGCGGGGAGCCTGCTTCTCCCTCTCCCACTCCCCCTGCTTGTGTTCGCTTCTCCCTCTCCCACTCCCCCTGCTTGTGTTCCCTCTCTCGCTGTGTCTCGTTCTGTCAAATAAATAAATAAAATCTTTAAAAAAAAAAAAATAGAACTGCCAGTTCAGTACTTGGCTAAAAATTACAGCAAGACGTTGACAAATAATAGACTTTGTGTGTAATGTAAATTGTATTTTGTAACTTCTAATTATGTTGCACAAGTGTTCTGATTTTATTCCAAACCTTCCTAACTTTGTTAAAGCTTCTGCCATGTTAGATTTTTAAGTGTCTGTGTCTTCCCCTAGTCTCTATTTCCTTCTGGCTGGCATAACACATTTTGCCTACTCAGTATTATAGCACAGTTTGTAGCTCATAAGTGCTCACAGTTACTAATTATTGGTGGTAAATTAACTAATTTATTGTCAAAGATTTACATTTAAAATCCTGTGCAGCATAATTTGCTTCTAATATATCATCGTGGGGGCGCCTGGGTGACGCAGTTGGTTAAGCATCTGACTCAGTTTCAGCTCAGGTCATGATCTCAGGGTCGTGAGATTGAGCCCTGCAGTGGCTCTGTGCTGAGCACAGAGTCTTCTTAAGATTCTCTTTCCCTCTGCCCCTTACCCCCACGGGCATGCACTGTCTCTCAAGTAAAAATAAATAAATCTTAAAAAAAAAAATCTCTCGAGGCACTTGGGTGGTTCAGTAAGTTAAGCGTATGACTTCGGCTCCAGCCATGATCTCAGGGTTGTGGGATCCAGCCCCGAGTCGGGCTCCATGCTCAGCAGGGAGTCTGCTTCTCCCTCTCCCCCTGCCCCTCCCCACTGCTTGTGTGCTCTCTCTCTCTCTCTCTCAAATAAATTAAACAATCTTTAAAAAAATCATCATTGTGTAGGAAGGGGAAGAAAACTAGGATTTATTGATGACCTACCTGCCAAGGACTAGGCGCTGTGCTTCCTGAATGTTATCTCATTTCATTACCGTAAAACCTCTGTGAGGCAGAAGTTACTCTCATTTTACACATGAGAAGGCAGGCCCTGGTTAAAATACAAATCAGATCATATCACTCCTCTGCACAAAACTCTCTATTGCTGTGTTGTCCAATGGGATCATCTTTAGCTCCATGTGCATTTGAAATGTGGTTTGTACAAATTAAAATCTGCTGTAAGTGTAATACATGCTGGATTTCCAAGACTTAGTATGAAAAATAGAATGTAAAATGTCTGGTTAGTAATTTTTTATGTTGATTGCATTTTGAAATGATAATATTTTGGATCTATTGAGTTACATAAGGTGTATTATTAAATTAATTTTACCTATTGTTTTTCCCTCTTTAAAAACGTAAATATTAGAAAAAGTTATGTCTGTGGCTCATGTTATATTTCTGTTGTACAACACTGCTGTAGGTGGCTTTCCTGTCATTCAGAATGGTCTACAAAGCGGTGTACCATCTGTCCTCTGTTACCTCTGATCTCCTCTCCTATACTCTCCTCTTTGTTCTCTCCTCTCTGGTTACTCTGGCCTCCTTCCTACTTAAACACACCAGGCTCTCTACGTCCTCAGAGCCTTTGCCTTTCTTGTTCCCACAGCCTAATTGCTTTTCCCTCAGATATCCACAGTGTTCACCACCCCGTCCTCCTTCGGGTCTTCTTTAAAATCCTTCTTCCTTCATGAGGCCTAATTTGGCTGTCCTAACTAAAACTACAGGCTCTCCCTCCCAATCCCTATTTTCCTTCTGAATATTTAACACTAGCATGCTCCCTATTCTATTTACTTATTGTCTCTTTCCTTTACTAGAATTTGAGCTCCACAAGGGCAAGAATTCCTGTTAGTTGTAGGAATTGCTTTATTCCCAGCATCTCAGAGTGCCTGACATATTTTGGGTGGTAAAATTTGTGGAACTGAACTGAAAAGGATGGCAACGTCTTGCACGAGTACATTCCATCAGAAGGCACAGACCTCCTGTGATGGCGGGCTCCTGGCAGTAGATGTTGGGGAGACGCCATGACAGTCCATTTGTAGAGGCTCTTGAGAGGCTGTGGTGGGCTCATGCACCCGCACGGGCCCGGCAGGGTGCTCTGTCGGCAGTGCTCATGTGTGCAGGCTGTCTTGGTGCTCGCCACCACTCTCTTCTCCAGCAAATCAGAAGGCAAGGCTCCAGAGTTTATTGTGCCAAGCGAGGCAACTCCTGTGTCTCACTCAGCTCAGGCTTTTAGAACAAAATACCTTCAGTTGGGTGACTTAAACCACAGACCTTTCTTTCTCATGGTTCTGAGGGAGGGGGACGTCCGAGAGCAAATGCCGGCTGATTCAGTTCCTGGTGAGAGCCCTCTTCCTGGTTTACCGATGGCCATCTTCTTACTATGTCCTCACATGGTAAGAAGTGTCCTCTTCTTAGAAGGACACCTTAGGACTTTATCTAACCCCCATTACATGCCAAGGGCCCTACCTCCCAACACTATCCCACTGGGGGATAGTGTTTTCACGCATGAATTTTAGGGGGACACAAACATTCAGTGTAAAACATCCTACTGACTGCTTCCATATCCACATCTTGCTGTTTTCTACAGTGGAGTGGTTCCAGGAGAGAAGAGGAACACAATTCTCCCTGCTTCTACCTCTCTGTCAGGGAGTGACCATTCAGAGGAGTGAGCAGTGGGAAGAGTAGTAGGAGATGAGATCAGAGAGGTAACAGTGACAGGACAGTAAGCAATAACCCAGGGAAGGACATGGTGAGTGGGGCTGCCTTCCTTGAACCTGAGCCAGAAACTGCTCACCGGGAAGGGATGGCGGTTCTTGACAAGACTGATTTGAAAACTTTAATCTCTTGCTTACAATTTTAGATGTCTATTGTACCAAACTCAGTGGAGGCTTTGATCATTCCTTTTCAGTTACTTTTGCCAACTTTGTACTGGAATTTAAAATGTTAGTGGATCTCTATTATTCTGTTTTCGGCTCTATTCTCCTCCATACGATCTCTGAGTGACCTCATCCTGCCTTTTGACCCCAGCTATTTATTACCTGCATTCTGATATAATTCTCAAATCTTTATATTTAGCCCCAAATTTTCAACTTACTTCCAGACCCTGTTTCTAACTGCTCATTCAGGATATAATTTCAGGTTGCATGATTTAAAAATTAAACTCATATTTCCTCCTTAACATGCTGCTTTCTCTTTTATGCATTTATTTCTTCATTTGTTGAGCATCTACTATGTTCCGAATATTGAGGATACACTAGCAGACAAGTCAGACATCACTGCTGTCACTTCATGGAGAATGCAGACGAATAGAATGGGCCATTACAATACAGGGTATTACAGGAGGTTTGTAGGGTGCTGTGGGGACACCCAGGGGGAGAGACTTAAGCCAGACTTGAGATTAAGGAAGCTAATGAGAAATAGTGGTGTCTAAACTGAGGCCTGCAAGATGAGGAAGGAATAGTTAGACAAAGTAGTTATACAAAATTGGAAGGGAAGAACAGGGAATGGGAGAATAGAGTATGATTCAGGAGGGAACAACATATGTGAAGGCCAGAAGCAAGAGGAAAAAGGCCACTAAGGGAAGAGAAATCATTCCCTATGGCAGAGCTAAAGTTACCAGACTAGCTTAGATTCGCAGGACTAGTACTGGTAGGACTGAGATTCAACCCAGGCTTTTAAATTTGAGATCAGGGGCTCTGGACCACACCACACTGTCTCCCTGTGTTTCCTTTCTCAGGGATATCAGCATCCATTCAGTTTTCTCCATGACAGTCACCTAGGAAGCATCCTCTACTCCTTTATCTTCCACATCTAGTTGGTCGACAAGTCTTATTGTTTCTCTCCTTTCAATAACCATTCTTTTCTCTTCAACCAGATTAACTTAACTCAAGCCCTCACCAGTCTCTTGCCTGTACTGTGTTCTGACTGGTCTCTCTGACTTCAATGCTGCCGTTTTTCCTGTTGATCCTTGCACCGCTGCCGAGGTGATACCACCCAAATGCAGATCTGATCATTTCAACTTGAACTCTTTCTCTGGCCTTTCACAGCTTATAGGATCAAGTCCAGAGTCCTTAGCACTGTTCCGAAAATCTTTTCAAGCTTTCCAGTTAATCTTTTGCCATATACATATGCATTAAATAACTCTAAAGATAATCAAGGAAGTGCATATTTTCCAATCTGGAATGTCCCACTTGTTCCCGTGGCTTATGCCAATGCTAAAACCTCTCCTAAAGAATTCAAGAGTTAAATATAAGAAAACAATATTACTGCATTTTGCTATACTGTATGCCAAACTTTGGAACAAAAATACAGTTTCTCATTTTATATTTAAGTATTACCTGGAGCTTCTAAAAGTTATAAATGACTGGTCGACTCTATTTATTAATAAATCTCATCCTCAGAAACCCAGGCTTCAGCGGGCTCTTACCATTTAAAGATGCAACTTCTTGGGTATGTAAGTATATCACTTTCCCGATATTTGTAGTTAGGTGTCTTTTAATGTATTCTTTAGATTCAGTAACTATTTTGTATCATTCAAGCTAATATAATCAGCCCTAAAACCTGATTTTTTCACCTACTCTTAGTTTACTTCATTTAACAGATATATATTTCTTAGTATGTAATGTTACCTAAAGAATATAGGCCAAACCGCAGAGAAAGTCTTAGAGAGTAATTTTTTTTAAATGTAGTTTTTAAAAATACATTTAAGCCGTATACTTAGAACTTGGCTAATAATGTGTCACAACGCTTTAATGGTCGATTCGAGGGGCACCTGGGTGGCTCATTCGGTTAAGCATCTGCCTTCGGCTCAGGTCATGATCCCAGGGTCCTGGTGATTGAGTCCCACATTAGGCTCCCTGCTCAGCGGGGAGTCTGCTTCTCCCTCTGCCTCTGGCTCTCTCCCCAGCTTGTACTCTTTCTCTCAAATAAATAAATAAAATCTTTTTAAAAAAATAATGGTCGATTCAAAAACAGTTTATAAATGTATACTTCTTAAATTCCTAACATTGTTAAGAATTATTTTTATTTCAAATAGTTTCAACTTTAAAAAATTGACTCTTTAATCTCATTGTTACAGTTTGAGAAGTTTCCTGGAATTATTAAATTTTTATTAAGGTTTTAAAGGCGAGGGGTGAGACAAATGGATTTAGACCAAAGAAATATATGTGAAAAGTTATTTTTCATGTAAGTCATATTTAATGTTTCCTAAACCACATGAAATTGAGAAATAATGAATTTAAGAAGTGGGGAAAAGTTTAAACCATAAGGCATTACGCTGTTAAAATTAAATAAGACAGTTGCTACTCAGTGTAAATTTGTTAAGAGTGACTGAGAGCCCAGCTAAGTTTTAGTTGAGAATTTGAGTGTACCTTGTAATCCTTTTTTTTTTTTTTAAGATTTTATTTATTTATTTGACAGAGAGAGAGACAGCGAGAGCAGGAACACAAGCAGGGGGAGTGGGAGAGGGAGAAGCAGGCCTCCCGCTGAGCAGGGAGCCCGATGTGGGGACTCGATCCCAGGACCCTGGGATCGTGACCCGAGCGGAAGGCAGATGCTTAACGACTGAGCCACCCAGGCGCCCCCCCCCTTGTAATCCTATTATAAAAACTAGGTTCTGTGAATTATAGAACTAGTAGAACTAGTACTTATAGATTATTTTAACACTTCTATATATTCAGGTTTAACTACAGGATATTAAAAATAAATTATTTGGGATGCCATTAAAAGTAAACTTTATCCTTCAGAGTTCATATTTTTTTAAGTTGTGAGAAAACTTTTTTCAGACTTCCCATTGCTGCTGTGATCTCTTGGGAGGTATGCTTCAAATAACAGATTGTTCAGTTTTTGATATATTGGTAGTGATAATTATCTTTATGAAGAACTTAAATAATGTGCTTAGTAATGCAGAAAACATACTGTACATCCTCTGGCAGACAGAAATTAGAGAGTTCAAATAGCTGACAATTTGAATAGCTGAATGAATAAAATTGCAAATGAACTCGAGTCAGCAAGGGCAATGGAATAAATTTTGGAATGAAAATATTAACACGTTTCTGTTTAAAGATGATGCAACAAAAAATGTTGATTGTTGTCGATTAAATTCATATTGAAGTCCTAACCTTCAGTCCCTAAGTGACCTTATTTAACAATAGAATCATTGTAGATGTAATTAGTTAAGATAAGGCCACAATGGAGCGGGTGGGCCACTAATCCAGTATGACTTGTGTCCTTATAATAAGGGGAAATAAAGACACAGACACGCATATGGGGAGAATGCCCTAGGAACAGCCATCTATAAGCCAAGGAGAAAAGCCTGGAACTGATCCTTCTCTCCTAGCTCTCAGAAGGAACCAACCATACCAACATCTTCATTTTGGACTTCTAGCCTCCAGAACTGTTAGATAATAAATTTCTGTTGTTAAGCCACCCACTTTGTTGTACCTTGTTATGGCAGCCCTAGCAAACTAATACAGTGGTTTTATAAGATAAAGTATCAATTTTCTTTGTATAGAGTGTAACAGAAAAGGATGTAGAATCTGTTCAAACAAAAGATGAACATAATTTGTAATATTAATAGACACCAGAATAAATGTGATGTAGTAGATATCCCAGTATTAGCTCTCTAATAGTGAGAAACACTTAATTTTCACTATGCACAGGTTTAGGCTGAGCCACTTTTGATACTGAAGAAAAAGAAATGAGGAAATCCTACAAAATAGTCTGTGGAGAATGTCCTGCAGATCAAAGGGTTAGAAAAACTACCCAAGGGCAAAGTTGGGGAATTTGAATTATAGAAAATCCTCATTAATTTAGACTCTAGTCATTTGGAACTTTGGATAATTCATTGGATTTTACTTTACACATATTAGTAATATTATTAGAGGAAGAATATATTTTTTAAGAGATTTATTTATTTATTTTAGAGAGAGAATGTGGTAGTGATTGGGGGAGGGGCAGAGGAAAAGGAAGAGAGAGAGTCTTAAGTAGACTTGCTGCTGAGTGCAGAGCCTGATGTGGGGCTCGATCCCAGGACTCTGAGATCATGACCTGAGCCCAAATCAAGAGTCAGACACTTAACCGACTGAGTCACCCATGTGCCCCTAGAGGAAGAATATTTAAATGACTTAAGAATAAACTGTATTCAAGCATTTTTTCCAGTGTCTTGTTTTTTAAGTTGTAGCATGAACACATCATGAGATCTAGCCTCTTAACAGATATTAAGTGTACAATACAGTATTATCATCCATAAGCACAATGTTGTATGTCAGATCTCTGGAACTTACTCATCTTGCATAACTGAAATTTCATACATGTTGATTAGCAACTCCCTGTTCTCCCCCCCACCACTGGCAACCGCCACACTAATCTTTGCTTCTATGACTTTGACTATTTTAGATTCCTCATATAGGTGGAATCGTGGTATTTGAACTTCTGTGACTAGCTTATTTCATTTAGCATAATGTCTTCAAGTTTCATCCAGGTTGTTGCATATTGCAGAGTTTCTTTTTTAAGGCTAGATAATATTCCACTGCATGTATACATCCTATTTTCTTTATCCATTTATCTGTCAGTGCACATTGTTTCTACATGCTGGCTATCATGAATAACGCTAAACTGAGCATGGGAGTACTAGCATCTCTTCAAGTTCCTGATTTCAATACTTTTGGGTAAATACTCAGAAGTGGGACTGCTAGGTCATATGGTACTTCTGTTTTTAACTTTTTAAGGACTCCCTATACTGTTTTCCTTCACAGCTGCAATATTTTGCATTCCCACTAACTGTACAAGGGTTCCAATCTTGCCACATCCTCACCAATACTTGTTGCCTTTTGTTTTTTTGATAATGGCTACCCTAACAGGTGTGAAGTGATATTTTATTGTGGTTTTAATTCACATTTCCCTGATGATTAGTGACATTGAACATCTTTCCATAAACCTGTTGACCATTTGTATATCTTCTTTGGAGAAATATCTGTTTAAATCTTCAGCCAATTTGTTAATTGGTTCACTAGGTTTTTTTGCTCTTAGGTTGTAGGAGTTTCTTATATATTTTAGAAATTAACCCTTTTTCAAATATAGAGTTGCAAATATTCTCTCCCATTCTGTAGGTTGGCTTTTCACTATGTTGATTGTTTCTTTTGTTGTGCAGAAGCTTTTTAGTTCAATGTAGTCCCACTTGCCCATTTTGGCTTTTGTTGCCTGTGCTTTTGGTGTCATATCCATGAAATCATTGCCAAAACCAACGTCTGAAGCTTTTTCAAGCATTCAAGTCTTTAATATGTTTTGAGTTGATTTTCATGTATGGCATGAGATGAAGACTTTCATTATTGTGCATGTGGATTTCAGTTTTCCTAGGACCATTTGTTGAAGAGACTTTTTCCCAGTTGTGCATTCCTGACAGCCTTGTCAAAGATCAGTTGACCATATACGCATGGATTGATCTCTGGGCTCTCTATTCTGTTTCATTGGTCTGTATGTCTATCTTGATGCCAATATCATACTCTTTTAATTACAAAAGACTCCAAATACCTAAAACAATCTTGAAAAAGAAGAACAAAGCTGACCACACTGCCTGATTTCAAAATGCATTACAAAAATATATATTACGAAGCTAAAGCATCTTCCAATATCTTAAAGTATAACTTTACTTTTATGAAAAACTGTTGTCATGAATTCCAGTTAGGGATAACGGAGGCTACCTAAATCTTAATCTCTTCACATGTCCTCCCCACAAAACCTGTGAATTCGAAAAGGAGCACAAGTCAACCATTCATTAAGTTATTCTTTTAGCATTTGTAGGAGACCAAGATACCACAAACCTCAAATTATCTATAAGCAGGAAAACAAACGGCAAATTTCAGAGTTCCTGTTGCTGCTGCCAGGACTCTCTAAAGAAGGTCTTTAGAAACTCTGGAAAAGAGGAGAGGGGGTTAGGAGGTGTAGAAGCACAGTAGCCTTGGCAAAACATTGCTTCTGGAGGAGAAGGAGATAAAAGGAGCAGTTGAGATGTCCCTCTGATACCTGGAGGTGAAGAGAAAGAAGGAAGTAAGGGGCAGGGGGTGGGGGGTGGGTAGGGAATTGAATATCCTGCAGAAATGAAAGAGAACCAGAGACATACCAATTACTCCCTGTAACCCCAGTAAGTCAATGTCATCCCTTAGATAAACTGAACTTCACTATGCCGACAGAAGGCACCACTCTCAAATTAGGATCCCTGTCCATGAACTGCCTAGCAGTAGGAAAAATCATAAATAAATAATAAAGTACAAATTGTCCAAAGGAGAACATGTTGAAATGAAAATTTAATAGACTCATTTAGTTTCAAAGAAGATAAAGGAAGACATCAAAAGGATCAAAGAGAAAGTGGTTGAAATGGAAGACAGGCAGAGGAGATCTTACGTATAATTGGAATCTCTAAAGAAGAAAAACAAAATATTTGAACTAAACAAATATTCAAAGCTATAATCCAAGAAAAATTTCCAGAAATAAGAGAAAACGTAAATCTACATATCAAAAAGCCCCAGTGTGTCCCTGGGAAAATTGACTCAGAATGCTTAAACCCAAGACATATCATAGTAAAACCATTAGATCTTAAAGTCAAAGAGAAATTCCTCAGGATTTGAAGCAAAAAGGACAAGGTATATAATGGTTGAGAAAATTAGTTTGGCATCAGACTTCTCGAGAGTAGCTTATATAGCAGGGCAAGAGTGGAACAGTATTTTCAAGAAACTCAAGAATAGAGAGTGTGAGTCAAAGGTGTTATATCTAGCTGTAGAAGGCTATAGAAAAACAGTTTAAAGCATGAGATAACTTAGGGAGTACTGTGCCCAGGAGCCCATGCTCAAGAATCTACTAGAGCAGTGGTTCTCAAAGTGTGGTTCCCAAAGCAGCAACATCAGAATCACCCAGGAAGTTAAAAATGCATATTCTCAGGCCCACCCCAGGCCTGCTGAATCAGAGGCCTTGGGGTGAAGTACATCAATTTGTATTTTATCAAGTCCTACATGTCATTGTGATGCACAGTCCCCAAGAGAATGAACTTCTTCCAGCCAAGGGAAGACTGAGAACACTTTGGCAGAGGACTGATAGCAAGCATTTAATATACTGATTGTAGATATAAGTCTAAGACATGGGTGGAGACATGATTGGAATAACAACTTGTAAAGCATCATATATATTGCCAAAATAGAAAGAATACAACAACAACAACAAAAAATGAGAGAATAAAAGAAAGACATTTCTGGGGGGGTGGGGGAGCAGTGTGGTTTTTCTGGGAAATAAATAAATAAATAGCAAAAGTAGAATAAGACCATTAATTTTTGTATAGGTAATAGGTGGAATTCAGAGGATACCATTTTTTTTAAAGATTTATTTATTTTATTTTAGAGAGGGGGAGGGGCCAAGGGAAAGAGAGAATCTCAAAACAGACTCCCTACTGAGCATGGAGCCCAATGTGGGGCTCGATCTCACGACCCTGAGCCTAAATCAAGAGTTGGATGCTTAACCAACTGAGTCACCCAGGTGCCCCCAGAGGATATCTGACAAACAAGATAGTAAAAGATTAAGGAAGAAAAAAAGGAGGATTAAGGGCATCATAAAAGATGTAATGGCAAGGTCACCAGTAGAATAACTCAACTAAATCCAATACATGATCCTGTGCTGAAAACAATTACTAAGAGAACTTTGTTGGTACAGTTGATGAAATTGGAATATGGAACGTAGATTAACATATTGCATCAATATTAAACTGAGTTTGTTGACTGTGATGTGAATATTCAAGAACTTCTTGTTCTTAGAGAGTACATGCCAACTGTAGGGTAAAGTGGTACAATACATGTAACCTACTCTCACATAGTTCAGAAAAAGTGCTATACATTTGAGAGAGAAAAGGCAAACATGGCAAAATGTTAAAAATTAGTAAGTCTGTAAAGGATACATAGGAGTTTTTCTGTATTCTTCTTGCAAATTTAATATAAATTTAAAATTATTCCAAAATAAAAGTTTTAAAAAATTATATGCCAGTCATTCCTAACAATTTAGGTTACCCCAATTGTATGGTTTGTAGGTTTATTTTATGTATTTGAATGGAACAATCTTCCATTTCTTTAAAATATCCTATACTTCAAACCTTGCTAATGCATATCAGTCATCTCGATAAATTTTAGCTTAGTGAATTTTACTAGAATAAGGCAGACAGTGATGACTAATGTCATCATCCATCTTGCTAAAAATTGTTAGATATAAGAATACATTTTGCGGGGGGGGGGTGCCTGGATGGCTCAGGTGGTTAAGCATCTGACTCTTGATTTCAGCTCATGTCATGATCTCAGTGTCATGAGATTGAGCCCCATGTTGGGCTCCACGTTGGGCATGGAGCCTGCTTAAGATTCTCTCTCTCCCTTTCCCTCTGCCCCTCCCCCCACCCCTGCTATAATTTTCTTGAAGTATTTAAAAATATGATTACTATTTATGGATACAGTATGATTGAAGCTAAAAGAGGTAAAAATTCATTTTATTATTCACATTTTAAAAAAGATTTTGTTGATTTATTTGACAGAGAGCACAAGCAGGGGGAGTGGGAGGGAGAGGGAGAAGCAGGCTCCCCGCTGAGCAAGGAGCCCGATGCGGGGCTCGATCCCAGGATCCTGGGATCATAAGCCCAGCCAAAAGCAGACGCTTAAGCAACTGAGCCACCCAGGTGCTCCGATTATTCACATTTTTTATCTCATAACTGATCATTTGCTAAAAACCTCATATAGACAAATGAGAAAAAGTTTTGCATTGAATACTTAAGCTTTGCACTTTGCACTGCTTTGTCCAAACAAAATAACCAGCAAATAAGTCTAATTGCCTTTTAAATACACTAAAACTCAAAGTGTTAGTGTGAATTAACCTAGGGTGGAAATAGTAAAGATAAGTACAAGTGGTATGTCCTTCTTTTAAAAAATTCATTTATACCAGCTTTAACTCAGTGTTAAACATCATAGTGAAGTACTTTGTTTTTCTTTTTGAAGATATGGATGTAATGAGGCCCTTAATAAATGAGCAGAATTTTGATGGGACATCAGATGAAGAGCATGAGCAAGAGCTCCTTCCTGTTCAGAAGCATTACCAGCTTGATGATCAAGAGGGTATTTCGTAAGTGTTACGGGGTTATATGTCTCCTTTTCATTTGGTATATATTTTGTAATCTTCTGTAGGTAAAGCACTAACTAGATACTACAGAAGACACACGATGAGTAAGATATTGTCAAGGTATTTATAGTCCATTTGGGAAAGAAGAAATGCATCTAAAATACAGAGCAGTGTGTGGGAATTCCAATGATGATATATGTCCCATGCTATGGATCTTGCAAGAAGGGAGATCTGATTGAAAGGAATAGAAATTTTAAGAGCAGTGGCTTCTGAAATGGTTAGGAGTTAGACGGTTGGAGGTAGTAAACATTTCTTCTTTATGCTGAGTGAATGGTATCAAAGTCATGGTGGTGGGAAGGCAGTGGAACCTTAAAGAACTGCTTTTGTTATTTTGTCATTAATAGATTTGAGTAAGTTCTTACTCAAGCAAAAAGCAAAAGTTACATTTTAGTTGATCAGAAAAGAATAGTACAAACTAAAAAAAAATTTAGGCAAGCATGTTTGTTTCATAAGTTTAAAATTTGGGCTATTCTTCCTAGTTTAATTTATTTTTTCTTGGTCAAGTGACTTCCTTCAAATGCCTCTTGGAAATTTCGATGAAATTCCTTAGGGAGTACATGATGTCTAAATTAGTATTTATCTTATCTGATGATACACATAGTTTTAAAACTTGTGTGCTTTTTCTTTTAATTAATTTCCTGTTAGGTTGATAATCATAGATCAAATGTGTTTAGTGCCATGATTACATAGTGTCAATAAATTGCTCTGTCTTATCAGCCTAGCCATATATAATCTTCTACATTATTCTGAATGGCATAGCTGCCAGGGATCTTATGAGAAAATTACCTTTTCTGTATTTCTTTAATATGTACAAAAATACTTTCAGTTAAATCTCATTTAATCTCCATAATAACCCTCTGTATTCTCCTTTTAAATGGCAAAGGTAGCATGTGAACCAATATGACCTTTGGCCTATTCAACTTCTGGTTGAGTGGAAATGTTATTTGAGTCCTTGCTGAGATTGATTTTCAGTCCCCATGTGATTTTATTAGCTTTTTTCCTAAAATCTTACACCTTTTACTTTTCAGATTTGTGCAAACTCTTATGCATCTTCTTAAAGGAAATATTGGAACTGGCCTTTTAGGGCTTCCACTGGCAATAAAAAATGCAGGCATAGTGGTAAGACTTAATCTTTGTGAACTCTAGTTAAATTACAGTTATCAGTCTTAATTACAGCAAAAATTATAAGCTAACCTCTGGCCTAGTCACATATAACCTGACCAGGTGACAATGAGACTGTACTGATAAGATTATGTGAACACTGATAATTTAACAAAAATGAGAATTAATTACTCTTTTCATTTCTGTTTAATTACTTAACTTTCTGTTTAACTGTTTAACTTTCTGTTTAATTACTTTACTTCCAAATACTTGGTAATATTTGACAGAAAGATCCTAAAATAGTATTCAATTTTTCCAAGTATGGTTATATCTTATTATTCTTTTGGATTTTCAGGGATATAAGCAATGTACTCATATCAACAAGTATATTTATAGAGTAGATTATTTGTATTGGTGAAATTTTATTGTTTTTTAGATTCAGAATAAAATATGTGGTTTTCAGATTTAAAGAGTAAGAGTTAAGAAAAGGAATAAGAATATTGTTTGAAAACAGATGTGCAAAGTGTTGTTGGAACCAGTTATTGTCATTACAGAGAATCTCAGTAAGGGAGAATTCACTTATGAAGTAATGAAATTATATTTAGCCTTTTTTATTTTTTTTAAATTTTTAAAAAAGATTTTATTTATTTGAGACAGAGTAATTGAGAGGAGAGCACGAGTGAAGGGAGGGGCGGAGGGAGAGGGAGAAGCAGACTCGCTGCTGAGCAGGGAGCCCGACGTGGGGCTCCATCCCAGGACCCTGAGATCATGAACCTGAGCCAAAGGCATATGCTTAACCGACTGAGCCATCCAGGCACCCCTATTTAACCTTTTATTAGAGGTTTAAAACCTTACCAGTTTTCTAAGAACAGTTTTAACTGTCATCTTTCTCTGCGTTTGACTTGCTCACCCTAATTTAGAGACTTAAACATTTCTGATTATAAAAATAAATTTTGACAGTAATTTGTCTAGGTCTCAATAATCCTTTAATTTTAGTAAACAAATATTTGAAATTTTTTGTGTACCGCTTTTTCAAATAATCTTTTTCTAGGCATAGTTCCTCACATAGTAAGTGCTCAATAAGCACAATCCCAGATTAGTATAGTGCTTTTTAGTCATTCAGATAATGATTCATAGTTGCATCTAATTATCACCTTGGGACACTGATAGTCATAGACTTGCCATCTCATGTTAAATGTGATGTATTCTATCCTATCTTTTTGCACAGCTATACTCTGTGTTCATAGGTTTGGCTTAGCAAGCTGATGGGATATATGTGTTTGTCTTAAGTATTGCTGAAATTCTTTCAGTATCAAGTTTATGAATTTTCCTATATGCAAATGACTAATCATTTTGTCCAACAAAATTGATTCACACAAATGAGTAGTCGATTGTCTCATTGCTTATAAGACAATGTAATTTTTGTTAAACTTAAATATTTAATCCTATACATTTTCCCCCCACAGCTTGGACCAATCAGCCTTGTGTTTATAGGAATTATTTCTGTTCACTGTATGCACATTTTGGTACGGTGCAGTCACTTTCTGTGTCAGAGGTAAATGAGGATTTGTTAAGTGTATTCTATTTTTTTTAAAGCTGTGTATTTATTTAAAGTATCAGATAGTCTTAACTGTGCTTTGCAACTAAGAATCGTATTTCCTCTAATCTGTTATGTAGATAAGTCTAAAATAATGAATATGGAAAAAGATAATATTTCCTGTGATTGAAATCTGGTCAGAATATATTTACTTTTTAAAAAAATATAGCCCTGTTAGTGAAATGGGATGGTTTCTTTCCATGTAAATTAAAAAAAAATTAGGAAAGACATGGGGGGAAATGGAAGCCACAACGCTACTTTTAGTTATAGAGTGATGGTCTTCAATTTGTTAGGAATTCATTTTAGGGTATGGTGCCTTTGGTGTTCTTTGCTGATATGTGGGTTGGTAAATAGTAAAATAATCTTCTTTATTCTTTGTTTTTTCATAAAATGTTTCTACTGCACAATGGACTATTTAAAAAATAAATATTGCCTATTCTAGTAAACTAATAGTCTAATCTTAACTCTTTTTGTTATTGTTGTTAAATGTTCTTAAAACTTTGGGCAAGTCATTTATGATCTTTAAATAACAATGATACTTGAAAAAAAAGTGAGAAAGAGAACAAGGGGAAATAATGCCTATCTCCTGAGGCTGAGTATTGGATAAGATAGTTTATGTGTAAATATGTTGTAAAGCCTGTGCAGATGTATAAAATAATGCCCTTCTAAGAATAAATAATTTAGGCATGAACAATGTAGTTGATGTTTTTCGGTAATTGAAATATTTACATATATAAATCAGTGAAGCACAAATATTACATTATATGACTTCTACAAATATATAAACTTTAACAGCAGATAAAAAGTAATACATTGGTAAAAATAACAGATTTAAAATTTCATGAGACATAGAGCATGCAGATCTTGAAATTTCAAAAACTCTTCTGTTGGTACATAGCCTTGCATTTTAATTCCTATTTATTTGATGTTCTTTTCAAGGGTTGGATTTATGGACCAACTTCAAATTTTCCTTTTTCACATGCATGTATGTTCTTAAATTACAGGTTTAAAAAGTCAACATTAGGTTATAGTGACACTGTGAGTTTTGCTATGGAAGTAAGTCCTTGGAGCTGTCTTCAGAAGCAAGCAGCGTGGGGGCGGTAAGCACTTGCTATGTTATTAATATCTGGCTACAGAAGTCACATACTTTTTAAGTATTTTAATTTGACAAGATACATGAATAGAAGTATGATAAAGCTGGGGGAATAAACATAATCTTTAGAGTTACACAGACTTGGGTTCAAATCTCAGCTCTACCATTTTTCAGTTTTATGACCTGAGTCAATTGATTTATCATTTTGTTTTCGTTTTCTCACCATCAGATGAGTTTATGGTGATACTTACTTCACAGGATTACTATAGTAGTTTAAATAAAATGATATTTATAAAGCATCTGGCTAACTTATGACATAATCATGTTAATATTTTTTTAAGGAAAGGAGAAAAAGCAAGAAAAATGTTGCAATCTCATTATTTTAGATAAAATTGTGGTGTTTAGCTACATGCACATAGGATATATGAAGTGTGTATTTTAGCACAATAGTAATTATACTATCTTATTGTTTAAATGTAACTTTATCATTGGTAGACATGGCAGATCAAAGCCAGACGAATACAGGACTGGAAAAATAAGCATAGGTAGTCAACAAAATGCTCTCTATGGTACAAGTGATACGTGAAATGGAAATTAAAGGAAGAAAAAAAACAGTGCTAGTAGAGTTTATGGTTAAATATGGCCTTCCTGGGGATTTGTAGGAAGTTAGATTTGTTTATGAGCTGCTCAGAGCTCTTGATATGCCAAGTAGAAGAAGGAAGAAATCAGCCTCATGCCCTAGGATTTGCCCCAGAACCCTATCTTCTTCCTTCTTCTCCCCCAGAGTAGAGGCAGCTTTGTCTCTAGAATGACTTGCAGGTAGATGTGGCTGGAGTGATTGTTGGTAGGATACTAAAATCCAAGGTGGATGAAAAGATCTTAAGCGAACACTTAAATATAATTCATCAGAGAGAAGAAACTTGAATTCATTGCAGGGTACCAAGATTATTTACAAGGGAGATCCCTGAAGAACTATGAGAGCTATAGTTATGATAAGAATGAAGATAGGCAAGGGCCCTTCCAATTTCAAATGAGAGAAGGAAGTTGTGTAGATTTGTAGACCAGGTTGTTTGATAGCTTGACATCGATGGTCAAATAAAGACTATAATCAATTAGTAGGTGCATGCTGTTGTAATCACTCATTGTTCTCCAAACAAAATAGAGAAATATGGGCTGCATATTAATAATGTAGATAGATTTATAATTTGATTCCCAAACTATGCTAATTTGACTGGTGACATCCCCTTCCCACCTCTGTACACTATTTTATGTAGCTAGAATTTTCTTAAGTATCTCATTAAACAATAAGAACAGAGCTAAGCTACTGGAGGGGTCTTTGGTCTTATGATTTAGGCCATGCCCCCAGTCCTCTCCCATCTCATGTTCGTATTAGTGATTTGGATAGTGGAGAACATCTCATTCCTCATATTTCCAAATGACATGAAGCCAGGAGGGCTGGAAGATACACTGGGTTAATCAGAAAAAGATCTTGAGAAGTAGGAGAGATGGGCCTAATCTAAAGGATGAAATGTTTTCATGATATCATTTTATAAGCAGATACTCAGACTGTTGAATTTCAGAAATAAGTGATAGGGAAATTTTGGCCTTTTACCTTAATGGAACATCTTTTTGCTCAGTGATAATTCTAGTGACATACTGATCACAAATGTGTGCTGTTTGTAGAAAATACATATTTTGTTTATTTCTTATTTTAAGGAAGTTAAAAGAATATAAGCTATAATTAAATGTTTTAAAATAGTCTGAAAAGAGAAAAATATATTGATATATCAGCAGCTCTTATTGATACTTATTTGTGGGTATCTCTTTTCAGGACTGTGGTTGACTTTTTTCTGGTGATAACACAGCTGGGATTCTGTAGTGTTTACATTGTCTTCTTAGCTGAAAATGTAAAACAAGTAAGTATTTTTCTCCAGTTACTGAGGTCATGTTCTTCCACGTCCATAGTTATGGCATCATATCTCCTCTGAGTAAGCCATGGTTGAACATGGAAATGTGTTCCTTTCATAAAGCATGTTACTTTGTAAATTTTCCTTTAGTCTTCTTTTTTGTAAGTTGAATTTTCTGCTACTGTTGTTGATTTTACTTTTTTTGCCATTATATATCAATAATGTTTGTTCTGTCAGATCTGAACTGGACATAATTTAACTGACTCCTAGATACTTGAAATTTAGGTCTCAAAGCAGAAACTCAGATGTTTGGGGAGTATATTTTTAAATTGATTTTTCATAAATAAATATAGAAGCCTTTAGCCAGCAACCTAAAAAATGAAGTAAAAAGTGGGTATTACTAAAATCCAGTAACTATCGCTATTGCCTAAAAGATACTGTGTCCAAAAATGTGCAGTGTTCTGTAATTCTCTCCATCCCTTTAGGGTTTGCTTTAAAAGGAAGTGGTTTGCAGTCTTGGTAGAGACTGTCAATTTGAACAAACATGCAAAGCACTGAAATAAAAAAGCTCCCCTATCAAAACAATGCCAAAACACATTTCTTTATGCGCTCTAGCTTGTAACTAGTACATTACACCCTGTTCTTCTTTAATCATTACTTTAATCAATAACGTTTATTAACTATGCACATGTGCATGGTGCAGTAGTAGACATTTTACATAGTAATATATAGTACTTGTAGGTATTTTAATGCAAAATGATGATGTGAATATGTTTTCTAAAGAATCTAAATGTAAATATATAAGTATATATTTGGCTCACTTTTTCAAGTATAAAGTATACTTCATTTACATTTAGACCGGGAATGGCAAACTTTTTCTGGAAAGGGCCAGATAATAAATATTTTCAGTTTTGCAGGCCATATGGTCTTCTCAACTTAGCCATAGACAATAATATATAAACATATATGGTAATATCCCAATAAAGTTATATTTGCAAAATTAAGTGGTAGGCTGGATTTGGTGTATGGGCCATAATTTGCTAAAGCCCCTAGCTTAGATGTTTAATGTTGGAAAGGCTCATTGAGTCAACCCTTCTTTATAAATAAGAGAGTTGATGCTTTCATTAGCATTGCTTGTTATAGATGATGTGCTTTTGACTTACAAGTACTTAATTCCACAAGTTGCATATTCTTTGGACTATTAACTCAGTCAAGAGGCTATCTGTTGTTAAGAACTGATAAGACACACCACTTTACCAGTCATTTATGTAGAAGACAGTGGAAATGATCCTTTTTTAGGATTGTACAGCTTGGTAGTAATGTATCTTTTCTAATATCTCCTAAGAGAGCTACCAAAAAGCTTGATTTGAATTTATGGATAATGCTAATAATGCCTTACAACATTACATTAATAAAGTATGACATTTTTCATTTAGTCTTTACTTCTTCGTAATGTACGACGCTCATTTTTTGAATGTGTAAATTGACTCTCACAAAGCATGAGCAGTGTGCCCTAAGTCATGTGAATTAAGCTGAGACCTAAGTCTGTGACCCAGCTGCCACCCAGTATATTAACTGTTCATCGTTGGACAGGAGCTTGTCTGATTTTAGCTGTGTGTGTGCATGTGATGTAATAGATGTCTATAAGCTTAGGGTTGGTGACTTTTTCCTGCAAAATGTTATCAGTTTCTTCCAAAGTAGATTGGAAGAATGTAACTCATTTGCACATATTCTAAGAAAACCAGGTAGAAAAGGTGGCTTTCTGGGAAGTAAGGAGAATGCCTGCTGTAGATAGAAGGACAAAAGTCCTTTTGAGGTATAAAAAGCAACATGGAAAAAGATACTCAGACTTGAGAAAAGTTTAAAGCAATAGTGAGCACCTTGCCTTGGCAGAGCAGACAGATGGTCACTGAAACAGCAGTGTCAGAGATGTTCACTGCCACATTTTAGAGCAGACTCCAGCAGTAGACGCACTGCTTGATTATGCCTTACCAATTACTGCTACTGTTAGAGTTAAAAACTCTAAGTTTATTACTGCATTAATCTACATAAAATCAAAGGTGCAATATTTTATCAAATCAAAGAAGTCAGGGTTTAGTTACCATACAGATGTGTGAACCTCCTGCTCTGTAACTGCCACAGGGCTGTTCTTGGTCCCATTAGGTCATTGTGAGCATTAGGCAGGGGGAAAGGGGTGGGTAGTGCCTCCAAGGATTCTAGCCCATCATGGTTATAGTAGTTCCTCTCTGTTCTTACTCTGAGATACTCTAGAAAATTTCAGGTGGATAAAACAGTATATATGGGCATGAAGAGTGGGGAAGGAATATTACATTAACAGAAAAAAATATATAATGATACCTAAGACTATGGACTTTAGAGATAGAGGATCCAAATTAAAGTCCCCACTCTCTCCATTTTAAGTCACACATTGGACAAGATCTCCTGATCCCTGGTCAAACCTAAGTTTCCTTATTTGTAAAATGGGAATAGCAACAAAATCTCCCATTGTTCCTCCTAAACTTATCCTGAGGCTCAGCTGACAAGAGGTTTGTGAAACCCTTTGCAAAAAGTAAAGTAGTATACAAATATAGGGTGTTAAGGCTTTAATTCTGCATTTATTTTAGCTTTGCTGAAGAACATAATCTACCTTTGGAATTTTAACCATTAGATTACTGAATCATTGAAAACTAATAAGTAGTAGATGTTAGTAAATTTAAGCTTTAAATGGAAACAACTGAATTTAGTAATTTTATTTTATAATATTTATTTCAGTGTTTTGCATTTTGGTAAACATGTGAGATCATAGGAAGTCCTATTAGATAGCCAATATCTGTCTCTAGAGGGCACCAAAGGACTCAAATGTTTACCTGAATCTTGCTCTGGGTATGTATCTACACTTTATTTTATTTTTTAATCCTGACAATTTTTATAACCATATTTCTGCCAAAGAATACTAAATTATTATGAGATATTTGTGACAGAATTAATTTCATATTCCCAACCATCTCACCATTCAAACTACCCTTTTTAAAATTGGTTATGTAACTGATTTTCTCTTGCCAGGTATCCTTGTTAGAGCTTAATTTTGATCATTACCTAATCTGCTTATTGGCGATACTTCTTGGATACAGAAGCATTTGGCTATAAATAATTTTGTAACTGGGAAAATTGAGTCAACAAAAAAGATATACTTTTAAAAACCAAGTAATGTGAATTACCAATCTTCCTTCTATTTCAAGTTATAGAATATGAAATATAAAGTTTTGATGAGCAGTTACGAGGTAAACATGAGGTATGCATTTCTTAAATGGTTCATGGTGTAACCTGAGAGTTTGTTAGTCCAGTATGAGTTACAAGTTGCCTATCTAGCTTAAAACTAGTAGATATATTCCCTACAGTTTAAGATGATGTGTACATTTGTAGTGACACTAAACATTGCTTATCATAAATTGTAAGTATAAAATTAAAAGAAACAACTTGAATTGTTAATCATACTATAATTTTGTTCTAAACTTCTGCTTGTGGGCCTCTTAATACTTAGTATATTTAGAAAGAGAGATGTCAGAGTAAAGGCCAGGCTGCTACTTGGCAGGGCCCCCTCCCGGATTGAAGTATTTGGTCAAGTTAGAGCATCCAGCTGTCGCAAGCTAAATTCTAGTCTCACTCCTGGGCTGGAATCTTAGAACTACCACTTACTAATTTGATATTATGTAAGTTTTTTTAACCCTCCCTAATCCTCAGTTTTCTCAACCACAAATTAAAATTAATACTACCACCAACCTCAGGGAGTTGTTTTGAGGATGAGATGAGATGTTGTGTATCACGTATTTAGTTCAGTCCTCAAAAAATGCTTCCTATTATTACTATAGGGTCTGGTTCTTAAGAATTGATGTATTCAGAGACTTGATCATGTTATTGTGTTCAATGGGGGGGTACAGTGTTTGGGGGCAAATAGATTTTCACTAGTATTTAAGTTATAATATTCTCTGCCTCTGCTTTGAATTTTTAAAAATGTTTTTAAAATCCTCTATAATTTCATTTCTATTTTAGTAAGTTGGATTATGTGATTAATTGAATAAGAGACGATTTTTAATATATGGAACCTATAAATTATTGTATCTCGAACACTGAATGTTGGTTTATAGAAGTGGCTGAATAAATTTTAAGGTAAAACTGATTTATTGAAGTTTTTTGCTCTAGCAAAAATTTATCTACATCTAACACATGGTCATGAATGAATTTAGTGGATTCTTAAGTATTTATTGATAGTGATGATAATTTAAAAACAGTTGTTTTATAAAACAGTTTTAAAGCTAGACTGTGATTTCTAAACTTTATTTTGACAACTGTACATTTCTAAGATGTACTTAAGAGCTTGTTTCCTCCTCTGAAGAAAATAAGTCGGAGTAGGATATCCAGAGTAGAATATGGTCATTCTCGACAAGTGTGCATCCACTTTTGATTATCTCAAAAACAAATTGAACCTTTGCAGGGATCATGAGCACAAAACTTCAAAATAAATTAGTAAATTCATCCTCATAATTTTTCTTTTTTAAGATTTTATTTATTTATTTGAGAGAGAGAGCATGAGAGGGGGGAGGGTCAGAGGGAGAAGCAGACTCCCCGCCGAGCAGGGAGCCCGATGCGGGACTCGATCCCGGGACTCCAGGATCATGACCTGAGCCGAAGGCAGTCGCTTAACCAACTGAGCCACCCAGGCACCCAGCCTCATAATTTTCTAGTGAACTTTCTTTTTACAGTATGATAAAAGAAGTTATATTGCAAAGAAGATTATCCTTTATGATGTAATGTATGGGGATTAACATAACAATAAAAAATTTTTAAATTTTCAAATACAAAAAAAAGATTATCCTATTTTAATTATCCTTAAATTTGATAAATATATATTTCCAGGAAGCTATAATATCTTGAAAAAATGTAAATATTTGATTTATTGTAAAGGAACTTATCATAGAGTGTATAGATAATAAATTTCTTTATATTTTTTTATTTATAAGTTGATGGAAGTTTTTTTTTTTTCCCCCCTCTTTCTTATTCTCCTGGTAATCCTATATAGGTTCATGAAGGATTCCTGGAGAGTAAAGTGTTTCTTTTGAATAGTACCAATTCATCAAACCCTTGTGAGAGAAGAAGTATTGACCTAAGGATATATATGCTTTGCTTTCTTCCATTCATAATTCTTTTGGTCTTCATTCGTGAGCTAAAGAATCTATTTGTGCTTTCATTCCTTGCCAACATTTCCATGGCTGTCAGCCTTGTGATAATTTATCAGTATGTCATTAGGGTAAGTATAATGTGTTTTTAACTGAGTGTCATATGTTTCTTAATAAGTAAATTCTTTGTTTACTTTTGAGGTAAAAGTAATGGTATGTAAAGACCCCTATTTCATTATGTGGCACACAGGAGATAATCAGTCAGCTTTGGTCTCCTTTGGGGGATACCGATCAGCTGGAAAGGTGTGTAACATAGAGCACAGGTTTTGTATTCAGGTCTGGTTTTAAATCTTGGTAAATATGCTTCTGGCCTTTATGACATTGCTGCAGAAGAGAGTAATACCTACCCTAGTAAGCTGTGAGATTTAGGATCATGCCTCAGCACACTGTATAACATGAAACAAAGACCTCATTAGTGTTTTGTTTACTCTTTTAAGATTTGAACCAGTCTCCACATGGGAGGATAGATATAATTTTATAATTTTCTTTACTTCTGAACCTTTATTTGCTGCCACCACCTCAGTTCACTGCCACTATCCTAGTCCATAACCTCTTTATTGGAAGTATGCAACCTCAACTGATTTCATTGTCCATTGTCTGGGGAGCCTAACAATAAAAGAAGTATTCCTAAAAAAAAAAAATTGATGGGATTCAGGGGATCTGCAAATCCATTAAAAGTATTCGCAAGATTTAATGTTTCTGTATGTATATATGCATTCTTCTACTGAGCAGTGTATAGCTTTCATTTCTCAAAGGGGCCAATGACTCAGAAAAGGTCAAGCATCCCTGTGCTATTCTTTTCTGATCCAATCTATTTTATATATTATTGCTGCAATTGTTCTAAAATCTCCACTGGCAATTTATTACAAACTCTGTTTCATACCTGCCCCCCAAATTCCAAAACCTGTAGACGTTTTCTTATTGCACATAAGAGTGGAAGGGGACAGGCAGGAAGGTCTCATAAGGCTTTCTGTAGTTCATGACCCCTTAGATAAACATGTAAGAGTTAGTGGAGCAGAAAAGGAGGTTCCTTAGGTAGAGGGAACAGTGTGAGTCTTGACTAACAGTGTTATCAAATGACTCAAACACTTACTACCCTTTTCATTTTGACCATAGCTTGTGTTTTCCATCATGTATCACCATCATATCACACAAGTCTCTCTGTGCTTCAGATGTTCTAGACCTCTCTATTTCCCAGATTATCCATGTGCTTTCACACTTCAGTTTCTTTTTTCATCCTCTTTCCTTGGCCTTGAATTCCACTTCCAGCTAGGTAAGGCAGAGAACACAGGATGGTGAGCAGAGTGGGAACCAGTCTTGGGGTGGCTGGAAGCGGTAGCCATCATGGAACCAGAGATCTTGAACAAGATGTGCATTTGTGAGTTTCCAGATAGTGAAAGTTGGAACAAGTCTATGCGTCAAGACCTAGTAATCAAAGCCAGAATCAAGGAATATGTACAAATAATAAGGGTAATAGTAACTGTCTAGGTAAAGAGTAAGACACTGCGGGGCACCTGGGTGGCTCAGTCGTTAAGCATCTGCCTTCAGCTCAGGTCATGATCCCAGGGTCCTGGGATCGAGCCCCACATCAGGCTCCCTGCTTGGCAGGAAGCCTGCTTCTCCCTCTCCCACTCCCCTGCTTGTGTTCCTGCTCTCGCTGTCTCTCTCTCTGTCAAATAAATAAATAAAATCTTAAAAAAAAAAAAAAGAGTAAGACACTGAGACCAGGAGGAGACCTGTACTAGGAAGCAGCAGAGTTATGAGGTAAAAAGCCAAAGTCAGGAACCAGGTACCTTGGAAACTGAAAGAGCAATGAAAACAGAGTAGAAAATGGATTTCACTGGACACCATGAGCAGTGGTTGATACTATGGCTCTCAGCTCAGATTGAGTATGCTTATGTATTTCCTGTTGTGCCAGGAGCCATACCCAGAGTGAACAGCCCGGGACTTGAAGGTGGAAGCAGGTAATCAGGAGCATTTAGCCCAGATGGAATGTGCGGGCATGAGGGAAGCAGTGGCTCTTGGCAGTGAAGTCCTAACAGCTTGGCTACATTTAACATAGGATGCTTAAAGTGTTTATTGAAAGAATTATTCACTTTTATAACATAACATTTGCTGTTGTGAAGCTCAGAAGTATATGATTTCGCTCTTTATTTTAAATTCTTTAAAATAAGATACAACTTCTCTTATTTTTTCTCTCTTTCTCCAGAATATGCCAGATCCCCACAACCTTCCAATAGTGGCTGGTTGGAAAAAATACCCACTCTTTTTTGGTACTGCTGTGTTTGCTTTTGAAGGCATAGGAGTGGTAAGAATTTAGTCTTTATTATTATTTTTAAAAATTTTAAGTCAACACAAAGATTTATGTAGTCAAACTACATTTAAAAATGCATTTTTCTTTTTTGTTGCCATTTTCTTCATTGCCAGAACACTATTTGTAGTTTTGTAGGTTAGACTTGAATTATAGGTTAGTTTAGATGATTTTTAACATTTTATTATGGAAATTTTCAAGCCTAAGACAAAATCTAGAGAATAGCGTGATGAACTCTTGTGTAAGCATCACCCAGCTTCAAAAATCGACTCATGGCCAGTTTTGTTTTACCTGTATTCCATCTACTCTGCCAAGCCCAGGTTACATTCAGACAGATCCCAAACATCATATTTTATAGACTAGATGATTTGAAGTGAATTGAAATTGTTACAAAGTTACTATTACATAGAAGAATCAAATATAAATTCTCCCCTTAGATTTACACATATCATATTTGTTTTGAGAAATGATGTTATCATAAAGCTAATACCAAGAAATACAAGCACCCTGAGGATTCTAAGATCTTAAATATTTCCATTTAAGATGCTTCCAGTTTATTTAAAGCCTGGAATATGTAGATTTAGGGAAAACAGAATATCACTCTCTGCTTTATAGCTTATGTTTCATTGTCTGATGGTTTGGTATGGGAGGGAAACCACTTAAACATATCTATATGAACTACAGATGAAATAAGACCTAGGAGACAATTTTATACTATTTTACTTGGGTTCTTGCTCTCCCTGAATTCTCCTTTAGAGAATTCTCACAAATTCTTACAGCTCCATTTATCAAACGGTTACAAACATAACTACAATTTTCATTTCTGTCTTTAACCAGTAAGTTCTAGTTAACTATTGGACATTTCCAGTTAAGTTGTTCCTCTAACATCTCAAGTTCGACAGCTCCGAGTCTGACATAGACTTTCTTAATCCAAAACCAGCTTCACTTTCTCATTTCCCTATTTCTTTTAGTTTTATTTTCAGTTGCTCAAGCTTGAAACATTGGAGCATTTCCTTTCACTTTGTCCCTGGTTCCCCTATTCCATTGGTAATTAAGGCATGTTTATTTTTCTTTCATATTTCCCCATAAATGAAATTACATTTAAAACACCCACAGTGTTGCTAACCCCAGAGAGAGCCTACATAAATGTGAATTTCCTTCCTTTCCTCCTTTTCTAGCTGCACTGGCACCATTCTTAACCATAGCCTCTTATTTCAGGTCTGGATTATCTCCAGAACATCAGATGGTTCTCCCTTCTATTAACCAGTTAATATTTCCATATGGACCTCACTTACCTAAAAAGTAGAGCTATTACTGGAGTTATTGTCACATAGGGTTATTGTGAGGACTACATGAGATGCTGCCTGCAAAGCATCTAGAATAATACGTGGCAGGGGGTGGTCCAAGATGGCAGTAGGGAAAGATCTTGAACGCCCCTTCTCCCCTGGACACACTACAGCTACAGCTACATATGGAATAATTGCCTCGAGCAGGAGCTGAAAACTAGCTGAACAGCTGCTCCACAACAAGGACAATAGGGCCACCTCAAGACGGATAGGAGAGACAGAGATGTGGGCTCACCAAAAACTCTACCTCTGGTGCAGCAACCCAATATAGGCAGGCATCTTACAAGCCCAGAGCCTTTCCCTAGGGAGCAAGGGGTTTGTGTCCCACAGCAGGCAGCCCAGCCCTTGAGACCTGCACTGGAGAGACAAGCCTCCAGTGGGGCTTCCATCCATAGGACCCAAAGGGCTGTTGGGATCTGAGAAACTTTTTTTAAAGGGCTTGCATGTGGACTCACCTGCCCCAGAACCTAGCATAGAAGCTGCAGTTTGAAAGGTGCCTAGACTCTATGTGAAGGAGATTCATTTGCTAATCTTAAAGCATCTGCTGGAGGGGTGGGGACAAGTTGGGACTTTCTCCAGGGATGGTGAGCACCATATCTGTAGTCTCCCTCTATGATGCTAGTGCAGGTGGACACTCACAAACACAGCAATCTCCCAATGGCTTGCTAACACTGGTGGGCCTGCCCTGCCCTCGGTGTTCTTCCCCTGCCTTACTAAAGCTGTGGGCAAGTGTAGTCCACACAGGGGTGCCCCTTGATCACCTGGCCCTCGTGGCTAGGGGGGGTTTGTGTTCCAGGGCCCCATAGGACTTTAACAATGGGAATGACAGTTCTTGGCAGCATGCCATGCTGAGGGCACTGCACAGACAACAGATTGAAATGCACCCCAAGTCAGCCAGTGAAAAAGGCCTATTTACGGTGCTGAAGCTTTAACCCGAGGGACAGGCTTCAGGTTTGCCACATATCTCAAGGCTACAGAAGCACTCTCAGGGAACGGAGACAGGGAAATACCATCTCGTGCCCTCCTTTGGTCTTGTTACAGCTTTCTGGTACCTCCCAGAAACGGGCTTATACAGTTATCTGAAACCTTGACTTTTACAACTGTTCCCCCAGGGGACCCTCCACATCTCCTGGTCTAGAGGCCAGCAGGGTTTACAATTATGGTCCCATAAGACTGTGTATTTCTATACTTTAAAAGCTGCTGCCTGAGGATCTGACTTCCAGTCATCCTGAAACTTGGCACTAACTGAGATCCCTACATTGGAACACTGGCAGCTCTTGGCACACCTTCAACAACTGAAATTTATCAAGAATAAATCAGGCTACTTAGATAATCACAAAGGTCCAAGAGACAACCAAGAACTAGGTCAAGGTTGAATGATAGAGTTCATCTTCTACACAAGGTCACTCCTTCAAGACTGGGAAATGTAGCTGTTTCAGCTAATACATAGAAACAAACACAGAGAGTCAAGAAAAATGAGGTGCAGGAATATGTTCCAAATGAAGGAACAAGACAAAACTTCAGAAAAAGACCCTAGTGAAATGGAGATAAGTAATCTACCTGATAAAGTGTTCAAAGTCATGGTCATAAAGATGCTCCTGGAACTTGGAAGAAGAATGGATATTCTTCAACAAAGCAAAAGAAAAATGTAAGTACCAAACAGAAGTCGTAAAGCTGAAGAATACAATTACTGAACTGAAAAATATACTAGAGGGCTTCAAAAGCAGACCAGATGAAGCAGAAGAACTGATCAGTGACCTCAAAGACAGGGCAGTGGAACTCACTCAAACAGAACAGCAAAAAGAAGAATTTGACACCAGAAAGAATAGCATTTGCGTTATAGGGATTGAAAGGGGGAATATAGGGAAGAAATAATGGCTGGAAAATTCCCTAACCTGGGGAAGGAAACAGACATCCAGATAGTTCCAAATAAGATGAACCCCAAGAGATCCACACTGAGACACATAACTAAAATGTCAAAAGTTAAAGAGGAAATCTTAAATGCAATAAGAGAAAAACAACTTGTTTCATACAAGGGAACCCCCATGAGGCTGTTAGCTGATTTTTTACCAGAAAAATCAGAAGGGAGTAGCATGATATATTCAAAGTACTGAAAGGAAAAAAACTTCCAACCAAGAATACTCTACTTGTATAAGGGATTGAAGGAGCACTTAACCTGAATAAAAGTGCGAGCATGGGCATCTTTGACTTGTTCCTGATCATAGAGGAAAAGCTGTCAACTTTTCATAGTTGAGTTGATACCAGCTGTGGGCCTGTCATATATGGCCTTTATTATGTTGAATAATGTTCCCTGTATACACACTTCCTTGAGTGTTTTTATCATGAACAAATATTGAATTTTATTAGTGCTTTTTCTGCATCTATGGAGATGATCATATGATTTTTATTTTTATCCTTCATTTTGTTAATTTGGTGTATGATGTTAATTCATTTGTAGATGCTGAACCATTCTTGCATCCCTGGAATAAATCCCTCTTGATCATGATATATGATCCTCTTAATGTATTGTTGAATTTGGTTTGATATATGATCCTTTTAATGTATTGTTGAATTTGGTTTGCTAATATTTTGTTAAGCATTTTTGCATCTATGTTCATCAGGAATATTCCTTACAATTGCCTTCCTCCCTTCCTCCCTTCCTTCCTTCCTTCCTTCCCTTCTTCCCTCCTCCTCCTCCCCTTCCTCCCTCTCCCCCCCTCCTCCTCCCCCCGCCCCTCCCTCTCCATGTCCTTGTCTAGTTCAGGTATCAGGGTAATGCTGGCATAGTAAGTGAGTTTGGAAATATTCCCTCCTCTTCGGTTTTCTGGAAGTATCTGAAAAGGATAGGTATTTAAATATTTTTTGAATGTTTGGTAGAATTTGCTTGTGAAGTCATCTGGTCCTGGACTTTTGTTTGTTAGGAGTTTTTTAATTACTGATTTAATCTCCTTACTAGTAATCTTTCTGTTCTGATTTTCTAGTTCTTCATGATTCAGTGTCTTGGAACATTGTGTATTTTAAGGAATTTATCCATCTCTTCCAGTTTCCTCAATTTTTTGTCATATAATTGTCCATAGTAGTCTCTTATGAACCTTTGTATTTCTGTAGTATCAGTAGTAACTTCTCTTTCATTTCTGATTTTATTTATATGAGCCCTCTCTCCTTTTTAGTTGGTAAGTCTAGCTAAAGGTTTGCCACTTTTGCTTGGCAACTATAGGCAATAATACTTTATTGCATATTTGAAAGTTGCCAAGAGAGTAAATCTTTAAAGTTCTTATTACAGAAAAAAAAAATCATAATTTTGTATGGTGACGGATAGTAACTAGACTTATTGTGGTTATCATTCTGCAGTGTATACAAATATCAAACTCTTATGTTTACAACTGAAACTAATGTTATATGCCGATTTTATCTTAATTAAAAAAGAAAAATACCTGGCACGTTGTAAGTACTCAGTAAATACTTGCTGTTATTATTTCTTAGTATCTTTTACTGTATGGTCAAATCAAATGGCCAAAACCTCTGAAGATTTGCCTTAAAAAACTTAACTCTTCAATTAGCCTTTTTTTCAAGGTTTTTTTTTTTCACATAATAAAAATAACTTTTTCATCTCACTAAATTGACAGCAGATACAAATGGCTAGATATAGAAGCAATCACAGACATGAATATACCTGGGTTAGCGTGCACACACGTATATCACTTCAGCTGAGAGATACACAGTAGCGACAGGCACACCCAGCACCCAGATCTGGACTTCTAAATACCATTCTACAACAAAAGAACCGAAGTTCTTTGGAGAAAGGTCTGATTCTAGGGCTGAAACAAGGACATTCCAGATGAGTCTAGAGCATCTTGTAGTGCTAGAAAGTATGGAAATGCTAAAACAAAACAAAACAAAACAAAAGAACGGAGGCATGCAAAGGAATACAGGAAGCAACCTGATGGAATTCACAATGACCAAAGCTGGAACAATATGAGCAACAAAATAAATAAGTGTTTTGGATTCATAGTCACAGTATAAAACAAATATATATGAATGCATACTAATATAAATAAATGATTAAATAAATACATATATAGGGGGGATTCCCAAATAATTTATGTAGATGCTTCCCCTCCAGGAGGTATGGCTTAATCTCCCCAGTCCCTGGAGTATGGGCTGCATTTAGTGACATGGCTTCCAATGAACAGAATATGATGAGAAAGAAGAAAAGACCTTTATAAGCAGAGAAACCTGGCAAACACGGCCTTAAACCAAGTGATCAAAGTTAATTTCACCAGTGGCAAATCATGTTGATAGCATGTGTGATGAGAAGGGCATTTCACCTCTATGGTATCTTGTTCTAAAACCTATAATCCCAGTGTACAGACAGCAGACAACATCAGATAGATCCCAGCAGAGAGACATTATACCAAATACCTAACCAGTGCTCCTTAAAACTGTCAAGATAATGAACAATGAGGAAGGATTACAAAACCATCACAGATCAGAGAAGACCAAGGAGATAATGGTGACAAAATGCAATGTGGCATCCTGGAAGGGACCTTGGAACAGAAAAAGGACATTAGTAGAAAAACTAGTGAAATCCAAATAAAATATGGAGTTTAATAGTAACGAACCAATGTTGGTTCTTAATTGTAACAAATGTACTTTGGTAGTTTAAAATGTTAACAATAGGGCAAACTGGTCAGGGGTATATGGGAGTTTTCTGTTTATCTTTGCAACTTTTCTGTAAATCTAAAATTATTCCAAAATAAAAAGTTTATTTAAAAAAATCTGACAGATTTGCCTGCCAAGAGCTAATTTCAGATCTTTTTATTTTAAGGATTTGAAAATCTGTAGTGTAAAAAATATAACACCAAGAAAAATACTCAGCAGTTATGTGTTATTTTAAAGGAAATAAAATGTGCATATAAACTATAGAAAGCATAATTTGCGTATATATAAGATGGGATACTAGATGGTTTTAAATTACTTGTATTACCTGCATTCTCTTCTTAGGTTCTTCCACTGGAAAATCAAATGAAAGAATCAAAACGCTTCCCCCAAGCATTGAATATTGGCATGGGAATTGTTACAACCTTGTATGTAACATTAGCTACCTTAGGATATATGTGTTTCCGTGATGAAATCAAAGGCAGCATAACATTAAATCTTCCCCAGGATGTATGGTAGGTAGATATGAGTTTGTTAATCCTAGTTTGTATACTTTATAGATATAGCTTACCAATATTTGGTGATAAAGGTGTATTTTTGGATTTGTGGTTTAAACATTTAAAAATTTTATTGTGATTTCTTATTTGTGTAACCTAGAATTTTTTCATAATCTTCAGAGGAGACCGTCTATGATTTTACAGATTTCTTGGGATTCTTTAAAAAGATTAAAAATTGTAGCATATTCCAAATTTGAGTAAAATATAAAAGTAAAATATGGATTCTTTTACTATGGATTCACTGTAATAAAAAATGTAATACTTATACTCACTGCCAAAAAACCCAACACTCTGGATTCCTGATAAAATAATAAAACCCATCACTTATGACCCTCACTATTTTACTGGTCAGCCTTAATATGGTATGTACCCCAGATCCTTTCAGAAAACAGATAGGACACATTATTAAAAAATAATATGGTGCCTCTTAATATTCTCTTAATATTAGAACCATATTCTGCAAAATGAAGCAATACAGAGGGTTTTTTCCTTCTTCCAGAGATTGGTCTCTGGAGATTTTTAAAAAGGTATTGGCAGCAATTACCATGTAGACGTGCTCCCTTATTTATAAAACAGAAAGTAACTCCTTAGTTTTGACAAATACAAAGAATAAATGTTAAATTGCTCATTTAATTAATGTCCCACTGCTCGTTGAGCTGCTTGGATAGAAGTCTGTGAAACCTGAGATGTTTTTAAATATTACGTGTTCTGACTGGCATCCTATTGGTAGCTTGGGAGTTTGTCTACCTCTCAGTAGTCATCTGAACCCTGGGTTTTTATTGGAGTCGAAAATGTTGTAAGAACAAATGCATATAGGAAGCCATTTGTGATAGAACGTACCTAGAATAGTTTCCAGGTTGCACAAGGAGCAAACATGCAGTGTGTTCATTTTTTTATAATTATAATTCTACTTTAGCTATGACACATTTTATAAATGTATTTCATGATGGAAACGTGTCAAATGTTATGCCTTCATTTCAGACTAGAGACATGATCACAAACAAGATATATAACTTTAAGCATTTATTTCATTAACTTATGTTATAGTTATTTATATAATTTTGTTTCTTCCAAATATGCCTCTTTTTGTAATAGTTTAATGCAGGCTAGAAGCTTAAACAGCTTAATATAAGAAATAATCAAGGCTAAAAATTATGGTAGCATAATTCTTTTTTTTTCAACTACTATATAATGTCTAGAAAATAGTATTTTCCCAACTTAGAATAATATTTAGAATAAATCTCAAGAATAATTTTATAAATAAAATTGACAAGTACTTTTAATAAGTCAAATATAAAATGTAAGTGGAAACAATCTCAGAATTCTTCCCTACTCTTCTTCACAGAAGTATTTAAAGAGAGAAGGGATCGAAGGGGGAGTATGCATGCATGTCAAGTTAAGATGTTCCTATTCCCAGAGAGTGAAGAGCATGGCGAAGAACAGTGGGAGAGACAAGCAGGGAATGCTGTCGGTGTTCACAACTGAGTCTTGAGGGAGCCCTGATGCCCCTGCAGTAGCTCTGTGTAACCCTTGCCTTTGTCCGCACCCCCTTCCTGCCTCTCACCTTATCCCTCATTGTATGGTTTACACTTAGAACTAGTTGCAAAGTCTTGATTAAAAAGGGACCATCACGGGGCGCCTGGGTGGCTCAGTTGGTTAAGCAACTGCCTTCGGCTCAGGTCATGATCCTGGAGTCCCAGGATCGAGTCCCGCATCGGGCTCCCTGCTCAGCAGGGGGTCTGCTTCTCCCTCTGCCCTCTTCCCTCTCGTGCTCTCTGTCTCTCATTCTCTCTCTCTCAAATAAATAAATAAAATCTTTAAAAAAAAAAAAAAAAGGGACCATCACATCCTTGTCTCTGTTCAAGAAAGCCTAGCTAGTCACCTGCTTTTCATTTAGAGGAAAGGATAGTACATGTATCCTAAGAAACAAAAATCTGGATGGAAAGCAAGTCAAGATACATAATTCTCCTTCAGAGAACTTGTGTTGGCTAATTCCTTTTCCTTGTGGAGATAAGCCTTCTGTGGCCCGCTGTCCATTTCTTTATGGTCTCTGCCTCTGGGACAGTTAAAATAACAGCCATGACTGAGGAATAATGCAGAGGAGATGCTTGTCTTTATATAGTGATAGTCTTCTGTAAAATGAGAAGTTTGGACTGGAATGATCATAGGATTATATCTAAAATTTCTTTCTTGATGTACTATGTGTGAGTCTCTTCTTCCTTTCCCTCCCTGTGCTTCAGGCGATAGGCCCAGGAAGTCAGAGAACGTATGGTGTACTGGTTATTGTTGGTATAAAAGCCGTTGGCTGTCACAAGAGCCTAGGGGGCTCATAGCTGCTAGTGATGGGAAGCTGTAAAGGGCTTTTGATGCCATGTGACTTACATTCTCAGAATGCAGAACGGGTAGTCCTACAAGAAAATGCTGAATTAGAAAGCAGCCCCAGGATAAAGCAAGTATGGATTAGAGAAGCTCCAAGTTATTAACTGTTTATTGATTGAGGTATCACCTTTTAAAACTAGTTATGAGTAGTAGTATTCAGTGTATCACATTTAGATTTTGAAGCAAAGATTGTGTTTTAAAGATGATAAGTAGGGATGCCTGGGTGGCTCAGCCGTTAAGTGTCTGCCTTCAGCTCAGGTCGTGATTCCAGGGTCCTGGGATCGAGCCCTGTATGGGGCTCCATGCTCAGCGGGGAGCCTGCTTCTCCCTCTCCCTCTGCCATTACCCCCGCTTGTGCTCTCTGGCTCTCTCTCTCTGTCAAATAAATAAATAAAATCTTAAAAAAAAAAAAAAAAAAAAACTTTGGCAGTGAATTTTAAAATACTTTTTAATGTGCATTAAGTGTTATTTAAAATTTGTTTATGCTCTCCTATATCTTCAAAACAAATTCTTACAACTTTAAGAAAGTTTTTTATCCTTTACAGGGTAGAGTTTACAGGGTAGATTCTTCTTTCAACTCTTCATTTCTGCAGCTGAGTACATAGATGCTTGCTTAAAACCAAAATGAGAACAAAGGTTGATAATATCTATAGAAAAGTTGATTAGAGAAAAATAGAGTGATTGAAAATATAGATGGCAAACATAGAAACTAGTAGATTCTTAAAACAGAAAAGTCAAAATAGAACAATTGATTTCAAAAGACTGCAGTGCTTTTCTTAAACATCTTTATTACTCTTCTTTGGTTGATAAATAGCATGTATATTAGCTTTTAAAAGACTCATACCATTTTATTTCCCATTTGTACTCTGTGTAATACCTAATTAATCTTATTGACTTGCGTTAATAATAACCGGATTCTTAGCCTGTATAACTTGTTTTAAATCAATAGAAAAGTAATTATACCTATGCGCGTAGTGATGTATTTTTAAATATATTGTTAACCATATTTAAAAACATGTAAGTTAGAAGATAATTCGAACAAAAGGAATATTCTAATAAACTGATAAGAATATTCATTTAATTGTCTATAATTACATATCAGAGTATATGGAGCAGGAGTGTTTCAGTTATTCTGTGCATTGCAGTAACTTGACCATTTATATTTAAACTTTAAGTCTCAAGCTTAGAAATATATCCTGAAATTGTTTTAAAATTAAGATTTTATCATTGCTAGCCCTAAGGAGTTCCTTTGTTCTTTAATTATGTTTGTAGTATTTTCAAATCTATTTCTACTCGACTTTTTTCCTTTCTCTTACTCATTCCTATGATGCATATATTATGGGAGGAGACTTACGGAATTCCTTCCCGCGTGGCTGCAGTTTAGAGATCTGTTTATAATCTTTGCTACTTTAAACCTTAAGACATCAGAAATAAGCTTAAAGTCTAATTAATGTTGAGGCCTTTCTTTACCAAAAGTGGAATATTTCCTATCTCTTTAAAAGGATTTCATTTTTTCCTAAGAAAGAAACACTCTTCCCTTGCATAGGCTTTGCAGGTGGGAAAGCAGGACTCTTAAGGGACGACTGGGACTATCAAGGATGATTCGGCCTAGAGAGGACACGTGTGTTAACCACTACCCCAATGCTGCGGCACATTCGATCCACGGTCTGCTCTCCGGTTGTTTTCTTAAAAGGATACAAGAGCAATTGGGTTTTTTATTTTAACTATTGTAAAATATTCAAAATTTCAAAAATCACAATGTAATTTTATTATCTATAACCCAAGAGAGTAGGCTCTATAATGTTCTGAGTCCTATGATTCTGCATTTTCTCTCTGTGCCGTTATCAACATTTAAAAAGTGTTCTTTTGCCAGACAACCGAAGTCTCTATCCAGACGTGCACACTGATTTTGACAAGAGGCTATCTACAATGCAGAAATCTAAAGATATTTCTAAAACTGAACATTGCTGTGCTGTTGTAAAGCACTGGGCATCAACCCAACCTCACAAACTTTATTTCCGTATTAATATAACTGTAACATAGGTGGAATTCCTGTAGAATCTGGAGAACTTTTTAAGGTGAAACCATTTAAAATGCCCTCCTTTTGGACCTAAGAATGACAACATTTCTGCAACTAATGACATACATACCAAGATTTTTAAGCAAGGAGAACTGTAACTCAGAGTTCAATGTGAAGTTTTCTTCTATATATAGACCAGTAAGTTACCAAAGACATAACAGTATGCTCAGTTTTTAAAAGAGAATTGAGAAAGCATTAACTCTTCATGGAACACAGTATGTAGCCTTTAGCACACTGGCTTAGCCTACAATGAAATCTTTCCAGCAAACCTTTGCATTGCCACATTCAAGCTCTCTACGCTTGTCAAAATGAACTGTCCACCAGTCATCTAGAAATTTAGTAGAGATCAGCTGGCTTTTTTTTTATAAACATTTAATTAGTAAGATATTGGCCTAAGTTTGTGTTGGATTTCTTACCTATCTTAACATTAAAGATAAAAAGAAGAAAGCCAGATTCATGTTAAGACAACAGTGTAGATGAACCTGGAAGGCATTATGTTAAGTGAAATAAGCCAGGCAAAGAAAGAAAGACAGATACTGCATGGTATTACTCATAGGTGGAATCTAAAAATATATATATAGGGGCGCCTGGGTGGCTCAGTCGATTAAGTGGCTGGCTCTTGATTTCAGCTCAGGTCATGATCTCAGAGTCCTGGAATGGAGCCCCTCCATCAGGATCTGCACTCAGCAGGGAGTCTGCTTGAGGATTCTCTCCCTCTCTCAGCCCCTCCCCCTCTCACTCACACTTGCTCTCTCTCTCTAAAATAAATAAATAATTTTTTAAAAAAACTAATTAAAAAATATATGTGTATCAAGCTCACATAAACAGAGTAGACTTAACGGTTGCCAGGGGGCTGGTGGATGGGGAAAAAGAGAGTTTGATAGAAGAGTACAAACTTTTAGTTGTAGGGTGAAGAAATTCTAAGGATCTAATGTATAATGTGGTGACCATAGTTGGTAACAGTGTAGTGTATAAGTGAAATTTGCTGAGTAGAACTAAAGTGTTCTCACCAAAAAGAGAGAGAAAAAAAAAAGCAAATATGTGAGGTGATGGAGGTGTTAATGAACTCGATAGTTGGAATCCTTTTACAGTGTATACTTATATCAAGTCATATTGTACACTTTACCTACAGTGTCATCCATTATACCTCAGTAAATCTGGGGAAAAAAAGAATGACTGAATTTTAAAATATTTTTTTAACAGGTTGTATCAATCAGTGAAAATTCTATATTCCTTTGGCATCTTTGTGACATATTCAATTCAGTTCTATGTTCCGGCAGAGATCATCATCCCTGTGATCACATCCAAATTTCATGCTAAATGGAAACAAATCTGTGAATTTGCGATAAGGTCCTTCTTGGTTGCTATTACGTGTAAGTATTACTACACATTTATATCATCATAATTTTTTCTTGTTGAATTTTGTATAATGAAGCTACTTAAGTATATTTTTTAATATTTTAAAAACAATTTTGTTTACATAACTGAGATACTTTTTGGATTAAAATTCTGTTATTCTACTACTGTATAAGAAAAACATAAACCAGAGCCTGTTATACTTAAAAGAACTAATTAAATTATTATTTTGAAAACTACATCAGTGGTGATTAAAATATATTTAAATCAGGTGCGTAAGGGACTCCTTATATTGTTGATATACATTTTACTTTGGTTTTAGTTTTCCTTGGGTTTTTAATTTCTCCTAAATTTTTTTTAATATATATTTTTTAATGATTTTATTTATTTATTTGAGAGAGAATGAGAGAGAGAGAGCACACAAGGGGGGAGGGTCAGAGGGAGAAGCAGACTGCCTGCCGAGCAGGGAGCCTGATGCGGGACTTGATCCAGGGACTCCAGGATCATGATCTGAGCCGAAGGCAGTCACTTAACCAACTGAGCCACCCAGGTGCCCTCTGCTAACTTCTGTATATTTAACAGTTTAACTCTCCATGACTACCTATAGAAATGGGTTTTGTTTTGTTTTGGTCTTTAATAATTTCAGTGGCTAATTTTGCTTATTATTTGAAGGAATGTGTGTAATCTCGTCTTAAGGTTTCACATTATAAAATGCCTCCACCAGGGAGCACTAATTATGGAGACCTGTGGAGAAGAAGCTTGATTTTGGTACAGTGGAAATAGTGTGAGTTTTGGGGTCACACTGACCTGACGGTTCAAACCTACCACTCACCTGCTGGTGTCTTTAGACAAGTTCCATGGCATCTGTAAACCCCTCTTTTTTCAACTGAGAAATGAAGAAAGACTTCCTTCATGGCATTTTTGTAGGGTTTAAGAATATTAACAAAGTAGCCAGAAGTTGTAATTGTCACCATTATTGCTGTAACCACAAATATAAGATGACCATAATACTGAACCAGCGATTATCTAGAATGATACCAGGGACGATTGGAAATGGGCCAGCTTTCTGTGGAAGATATGAGTAACCATCTTGGCCCAGTCAAGGTGAGAGAATGAGAGAGCTAGAAATTAGGGGCAACTATAAATTTCAGTGAGCAGCTTGGGGTGGAGCTTAGCCTAGATCTAAAGAAAAGGCAAAGCTGGGAAAAGTAAATGAAAACTTTTTTCCAAATTAATCATTTAAATGAATTATAGCAACAATAAGGTAAATCATATTGAGGAGTGAAGTCAATGAGCCCAAACTCTGATGACGAAGAAAACAGTCAGTAGGAGAAAATTATTTTAAGACATTTTGAAATATTTCTTATACATTGTTTTTATTGATATTTTAACAACCGTACTAAATAAAAAGGCTGATTTCAGTACAAATCCTTTTATCATAGATGTAAGACTTCTGCTCTGAAAGCATTTCTCCTTTTGAAATTAGTAACTGAAGTTCACTTGAAGGAGCTTGAAGAAAATGTTAATGGGGTTTAATAACTTGTGATAGCTCAGTAACTTCACCCACTTCTTCACACTGGCCACCATTGTTATGTCAAAGCGCTCTGTCTGTACATCCACTACCATGAGTCTATTCCCAGAAGCCAGGGGCTCTCCTCAAAAGCTGAGTTCGTGACACAGAGAATGGCCGGTGTTTCTTTGCCACTTCTCTCTTTTTAGTTAAAAATAGTCAAAGCTACTCAACGGTAAATGAGGGTTACAGTTACGGCATGCTTTGGACAAAGAGAACACAAACCAGGTAGTATTCCCTTCTACTTCGCTGGGACACATCATCGGACACTGAGCTTCACTGGAGTCTTTGGCACATGCTTCCAAATTAAAGTAAAAGCCAGCCGATACGCATGACAGGACTGTTTTTTATCTGTTCTGTAAAGCACTTGACAAGCTTTGGGGGGCAGGCTCCTTACGGATGAGTGTGTGGACAGCTGATGGGACCCTGTAATGTCCACAGAGCAGGCTCTGTGATGCTAGCAGTGAGAGTGGAGGCTCAGCTGGGTGTGCTTTGAAAATTGAGCATCTTTCCGTGTTCCATAATCCTTTCCAAGTTTGTAGTATTGGTGTTCAAAGTAGTGAGCTTATCAGCTTGGATTGTGTTGGTTACACCCAAGTCTCTATTTAGCATTTGATTCGTCATTTCAAAGCATCTTCTTAGTGGAACTCAAACGCTTGGAAGGATGGGTCAGACTCTTTTCTACCTGTTTTCTCTCGGCATTTACTTGCTATAGAGGCATCTCACAGGTGAGGGAGAAGGTGAATAGAAGCTGGCCAACAGCCACCATCAACTACAATAAATATCTTTTATTTTACAAGCAAACCTGTAGAAAGAACTGTTAAATTTTGAATTATAATGAACACTGAGACCAATGTTTATTTATCTTTATTTTTAAATTTTATTTATTTATCTGACAGAGAGAGACAGCGAGAGAGGGAACACAAGCAGGGGGAGTTGGGAGAGGGAGAAGCAGGCTTCCTGCCGAGCAGGGAGCCCGATGCGGGGCTCGATCCCAGGACCCTGGGATCATGACCTGAGCCGAAGGCAGACGCTTCACGACTGAGCCACCCAGGCGCCCCTGAGACCAGTGTTTAATTCCATGTTTGAATTGAATCTGTAAAATATGTTAAGTACTGTTTATTTCTATTATTGTCCAATTCGTTGATCTTTCCACTATTTCTAATTTGAAAATCTTTTGGCCTTGGGAGTTTGCTTTATGGTTTTAGGAGATATGACTGCAAAGTACCAAAAAATATAAATCTTAGTAGTTTGTAGAATATTAGAGAAGACACACTAAAATCCTTCATTTCAGTTAGTTGCCATTGCAGGTGAGGAAAGCTGTATCCTCCTCATATTCTAGTTAGATGGTACGTGGGGAATACCATTAATTATTTGTGTAATTAAAATGTATGTGCTGGAGTGTTCCTCACAGTTTTGTTGTTGATGTTATAATATCAAGTATTTTGTTTTTTTCTCTGTATTTTCTTCTCTGTGTTTTCACCCTGCAGATGCAAAGAATGGACTTAAAATGGGCTTTTTTTTTTTTTTTTTAATGAGAGGAAATTTTGTGCCTTAAGGATACATTCTTTTTCTCTATAATATAGTTTTGGAAAATACTGAATAAATTTAATTAGTATTTAATAGATCTATTCATAACACCTGTCTGTAAATGACATAGGGCAGCCTATTTACAGTAATCCTATAGTAAATATTTATAATGAATAAATTCTCCATATCCCAGACTATCCTTTGACTTCCTGTTTTTGGAGTTTTTATATATCAAATTTGCCTAAAATACATATATTTCTCTTCCTTATTGACTAATAGCATTACCAAATAACACTTCAAGCCATTTTTTGACTAGCAAATATCTATTGATTATATAAGGTTTAAGGGATGACTTCAGCTAATTGATAAATTTCATGATTTAAAAGTGTTTGATAAGGGGCACCTGGGTGGCTCAGTCAAGCGTCTGCCTTCGGCTCAGGTCATGATCCCAGGGTCCTGGGATTGAGTCCCGCATCGGGCTCCCTGCTCATCAGGGCACGTGCTTCTCCCTCTGCCTGATGCTCCCCCTGCTTGTGCTCTCTCTCTCTCTCTCTCACTCAAATAAATAAATAAAAGCTTCAAAAAAATAAAAAATAAAAAAATGAAAGTGTTTGATAAATGGAATTTTAGTCTGAATGAACAAATTCTAAAAAACCTATAGTGTTCCTCCACATGGTTTTCCAACCATATTTCACTTGATTTTTACTAATAACAGCTGGATTATTGAAAAACATGAATGAGGAGAAATGAATTCCCAAATGAAAGGCTCTTCAGATGGCAATGTTCTAGTCCTGCTTGTCTGGTCTTCCTTTTATACTGCCATCTAGTGTAAGTAGGTAGAAGTGTGTCCCCCATGAAACGGATGTTGTCAATGAAATTTGAAAGGTCCTAATTTTGTTTGGGAGTTACGATTATAGTTCCCTGGAGAAAAATGTTAAAGGAATGTAGCAAGCTTCTATTCAATAGGGAACCCACTTTATCATGCATTTCTAGTTTAGAGCTGCAACATCTTCAAAGTCATGTATCTTATTTAGGAATGTTTGCCACACTTCAGTCCTCTAGGTGTGAGGCTAGGTTTATTATTTCAAAATAACTTTTAGGGTTTTAGCTTTCAAAAGAAATTAAATAGGAAATAAATACTTCCAAGAAACCTAGTAGTTCCAAATTAATACCACATCCTCGTGAAAAACACCGAGAGCCACAAGCTGCAAACGGAAGAGTTAATTACAGAGCCCAAGTTAAATTATATATACACCAAGAAAGTTCAGCAAGAGACCAGGAGGCTAGAAATGGGAAAAGCAAAAGTATGTAAACTGAGAAATAAAAAGAGAGGGATGGGGCACCTGGGTGGTTCAGTCGGTTGAGTGCCCAACTCTTGATTTCGGCTCAGGTCATGATTGTGAGATCAAGCCCTGCATTGAACTCCATGCCCAGTGGGTAGCCTGCTTGAGTTTCTTTCCCTCTGCCCCTCCCCCTGCTCGCTCTCTCTCTAAAAATAAATACATAAAAAAGAGGGAGGGATAAAAAAGATTAGAGGGAAGATGGTAACTTTAGGAGACAAGCTAGGGAGCGCCAATGCACGCATCAGTGGAGCCCCCAAAGCCGGAACTGGGGTGACGAAATCCTCGTTGGTAGCAGGGTGACGTAGCTGTGAGTCCTCTGTGAGAGGGCTCCGGGGTTATTTCTGGGGGCCTCTGCAGACCTTCAGCAAGTCCCTCAGTGGGCCGTTTTAGCAGGTTTGAGGAAGGAATGGGAGTCTGAGTTTTTACAGGCCCTTTGTTGGTATCTTCAGCAAGAGAAGGGTAAGTAGGACGAAGAATGTGCCAGATCAGAGCTTTTCGGAAAGCTTGCCGGCAGTTTGGATGAAAATCGGGTCGAAAGCAGTGGTACGTTATTATTATTTTTTTTTTTAACTTTTCGTTTTGAAACAATTCAGAAAAGTTACAAAGGCAAGTGGAGTTGCCATACCCACTACCTGTGGTTAGTACTCCTTTAAGTACTGAGTATGTAAGTAAGGAGACGCCGGCTTCTCATCTCGTAGGTGCCGGAGCGATTCTGATCCCGCGTCTGGATGCTGTGATTTCCTTGGTCGGGGCTGTGAGCAGCAGCACCCTGGCCCTGGTCCTGCCACCTTTCGTTGAGATTCTTACGTTCTCTAAGGAACGCTGCAGCCTGTGGATGGTCCTGAAAAATACCTCCATAGCATTCACTGGACTTGTGGGGTTCTTCTTAGGTACATACGTAACTGTGGAAGAAGTTATTTATCCTACTCCCAACGTTGGCGCACCACAAAACCCTTCTCTGAATTTGAATTCAACCTGCTTTCCATCTGGTTTGAAATAGTGGAAGCAGAATTATGAGTCTTCTCCTTTTGTCTCGATTCTGAAAATGATGAAAATAAGAACTAGTAGAACATATTGCCATGTGCTTAAAAATAGAACCAAATTCTCTTTTCTTTTGGCACAGTAATGGTATTTTAGTAGTAGACTGTAATTCTTTACCGATAGTGGTAAACTATGACAGATTATTGGTTTTAACTATTAGCAATAATTTCAAAAAAATTAGTTTTGAAAATTTTTTAAATCAAAATTTAGAAATTAAAATGTAGAAAAATTAAAGAATAAAAAGGCTTCCACTATTCTTCATTCAATCAGAAATACTCTAACGAAAATTCTCTTTTATACCCATGCTCCTCTTTCCCCACCCAGTTGAGGGGAGAACAGGGTTCTAACAATAAGAGAATCAAAGAAGGACATAGTTAACAAAAATCTTCTCACTGTCTCGGTGAATATCAGAGTGTACTTTGCGTGTAATGTAAAAATGTCCTAAATTGTGTTTTTACTAGAGAGCCAAATACTTACAATTCATCCCTGGAAGGATAGAAAACTCATTAACCCTAATGTAAGCATCAGAAATCCCCACAACCAGAATTATTCTACACTATTCTCTGATGGTAGTTGATCTACACAATGAAAACTGAGGCACTGTGTGAGATCCTGACTTAGTGTCTCAGTCAAATTTGAAAGAGACTTTAAGGGTTATCCAACACAATTCCCTTATTCCTTACCTAAGGAAATTCATGCGCAGAAAGGTTAACTAACTTGGTCAAGACCACTCAGCTTTGAGATCAAGCAAGAGAACCTGATCTTTTGACCCCCAGTCAGGATTTTTTGTTTTTTACATCACATCCAGAAAAAAGAATAAATTATGTCCAATTTAGTCTTTAGTGTTGCATCTATTTAATTATATTTTAATACTTAGAAAGCCGGTGATCTTTGAATAATATATGTGACCTGACCATAAAAATCAGAGAACTCTGAAAAGCATGTATTACAGCCATATAAACCCCAACAAGAGAAAAATTTTTTGTTTTTTTGTTTTGTTCTGTTTTAAAAAATAGAAATCACATGCCAGTTTAACTGCTGGCTAGTAGAAGGTACCCAGCTACTCTGTTTGTGGCTCAAAGTCTCCTTATTAGTTCTTCCCGTTTTGGGTTTTGTAGGCACCATCTTTCTCAATGGCAGAAAATAAGTATCTGACAAAAGGCAGGATATGTGTATTCCTTCCAGCCCTGTGGCTTTTTTATTATAGCCTTTTACTGATCTGAATGGGCAGAATAAAAAAACCATAAAGAAATTTGTGCTGAGGAAAAATCAAGGCAATAACAGACTACTAAATCTTGAGACACACCAGGTTTCTTCCAGAGAAATACCTTTTATTACTCCATATTTGTCAAGCCCAGTTATTAACCAAAACAATCTCAGTTGACATGAAAAATGAAAAATTTTACATTTAAAACATTAAGAATCTTGACTTTTTAAAAAATTCATGCTTTAAAACATGTTGAACTTTTTAATCAGGCTGATGGTACTCTAATTTGTAATACTGTAAGATATCATCAAGATCACTGTAGTGTGTGTATTCTATATTTTTATATGTAAATGTTAACTTAGTTCAAGTATTTTTTGCTTTGCATTATTAATGAGTCATCAAATACAATTCTAACAAAGTATCAGAAGCTTTATTTTTGTACAAATTCATAAGAATCAAACTTTTTTTAAACATTTACATTAGATATCACCAATAATTGTGACACTTTTATATCAAATCTGTTCTGTTGAGCTTTTAGTCATACTGAGAGAATGTGGGCAAAGTTATAGGAAAAGTAATCGTAACTGAAACTGTTGTATAATCGTGTTTCTAAGAATAAATTAAGTTGTTTTTTTAAAAATGTGTAACTTGGTATAAAATGACTTGAAAACCGTTATTTAATAGAAAGCACTATTATTTTGTCAGCTGTCTTCAGATATTTCTAGTCTATGCGTGAAATTTTATTTTTATACTTTGACCTGTTTATTTTCCTTATTAATTCATCAAATTCAATAAATTTTGAATAGTTGATCATAGCAATGAATAAATTTTAGATTCTGCACGAACAAAATGTTGAGTGCATTATCAGCCAGGCTTCTTTATGCAGCGAGTGCTGAATCGACAGCCAGTACATAGTCCACTAAATCACCAATACTTTAAATACAAGAGAAAAGTTGAAATGGCAAAAGAAGGGGCTAAAAAGGGAGAGACTAGTCTTAATCCTTAACAAGAAACTGTTTAGATGTAAAGCATAAATGCACCCTTACTTAAGGATTTTTGATGATGTATTTTATTTGCAAAAAAAATCAGTGGCAATATTTTTTCCTCTGAAAATTTAGTTTTAATGAGTCACAACCTTTTCTAAAGATTCTTGGAGAAGCTATTTTGATGAGACCAGCTGTTGCTTTCATTTTGGGGCCTGGACAGATGAGAGCGATTGCACCTGTCAAATTGTATATCTAGTCCATTACGTTATGGCTCAGACGACTGCAGCGTTTCATCTGCCACAATAAAGAACCCCCTTCTCTGAAAGCTAATCAGGTGCCTAGAGCCTTTTCTACCACTGAGATGGGGGAGAAAGGAAACCTTCACTTACCTCTGCTGACCTCTGTTCCAAGTCAGTTATCATTAGTCCCTTACCTTCAAAAGGGTGTCGCCAGTTTCAGAGTCAACTTGTCAAAACACTGGTTTTCAGATATATATATATATATATTTTTTTTATCAGAGGATCTTCTTTTCCCCACATGGTCAGATTTCTCCACAATTAAATAAGAACTAGGGTTTTCCCTTGGTTAAAGACCAATCTGTATGATGTTATCAAATAAGAAAGTATACTGGAGCAGCAAATGCCACATTATGTTTTAATTCTGTCCTTGCTGCATTCTCCTTTCTTAAAACCGGTTCTGCTTCTCATCTAGGCAACGCACTTAACGTTTTTATAAGCATTTTATGCAATGCGCATGTTGTAAATTTCCTAACAGGGCCTAATTTAATTCAGTATTTTCCGAAGAGTTGCAGGAAAGCTGTCTAACTGCAAGGCACTATAAAAATATTACGGAACTATGAATTAAAGTTCCACATTAGTAAAAAAAAAAAAAAAAAAAAGTTCCACATTAGTGCCATTTCCAGCTGTGGCAAAGCTCAGGTGTTAGTGGAGCTTACCTGTGGCTTTCTTCACTGTAGATGTCAGCCCATACAGCATCTCAGTAGTACATGTGTTTATGTTAGGCTTTGACCTCAGTTCTCCTTTTTTCATTTAAAAAGGAGAAGACACAGAATAGAGGTAATGGAAATCATAAATAAAAATTTGAAAAGAATACCAGTGACCCAATGAATATATTCTGTTGAGGAATAAGATTTGGTAAAAATACAGACCATTGATCATGTAAAATGAGTTTGTTTTTTTCTAAATGAGTCTATTTGGTTCTTTTTGGCTGAACTAGCTTCTCCCTTCATAAGAAAAGTTGAGAACTTTGATCTAAAAGGTGTAACAAGATACTTCCTAACATTAAATGGCTGACTGTAATAGTTAAGACTTTGGCAGTGTTAAGGATAATCTTATTTATGCCCCAAGTGCTTACTCAACTAAATGCCTTAATGAAAGTGGTTTTCACTTAGGAGATAAGAAAACATACTTAAGAAATGACTGGAAAGGCTATTTATTACCCTGTGATAAATGAAATGATGACTTACTCTCTCTCTTAAAATGCCATATTAAAATTAGCTAGTTCTTATGCACGTACACACACACACCTGTAATCCATGTGAATTAGATACTAATGTTAACATACCATTTAAATTGGAACCAGAAAGATGATGTGTTGAAAGATCACTCCAGAAATTATTCCATTACAGTTTTCTTGATAACAAATAGGAAAGTAAATGCTTATACCATGAATAAATTAAGCTGTGGATTTTTGTGTTTTTCAAAATGATTTTTTGTTAGTTTGAAATATCATTGCACTTGAGTCAATTCTTTTTCTTTTAACTTATTTTTCTTTACAATACGAAAAAAACTGTCTTAAAGTACTGTAACTTCTGAATTCTCAATAAAATATAATTATTTTGCTTGCAAATGCCTTTTTAAATGAATTTGTCTTCTATAAGGTTAAATGATATTGACAAATGTCATAAGCTGAAAATGGCACTAGTATAGTCTAATCATAACATTTTAATCAGTCTTTGTGGTTAATTCTTTGTCATGTGATCTTCAACCTTGGAAGCTGATATTATGTACCTCTAAGATTTAAGAGCAGAAGTTGATTAAAAATGAAGGGACATACTCAAAACCATGATCTGACCTTCCCACAGAGTAAATGCACAATGAGCAGTCTGCAGATGCTACATCTGTGATTTAATTTACCACTCTCTTTCAGTCAAGAATTGTATCAGTTACACTTTAATACATTTTGCTTGCATTATGCCAACTCCCCAAATCAAAGATCATAAACATATTTATACTTTTACATCAATAATCCTGCTCTTGTGAATCTAACCTAAGGACATGCTATAGTTCATCAAAAGAGAAACACTCTGTGCCTAAAGGTGCATCAGCAACGTTTTAGTAGTGAAAAATTGGAAACAAATGTTCAGCAATAAGGAAATCATAAATTGTGACATACTAACCTAGAATACAATGAAGATTGTGTTAATTACATTGGCATTACACTGAAGGTTAATAATTTGGGAAAGAATAAATACATAAAATTAATTTTTAATTGCAGCTCTATAAAAATAATGCTTTTGAACCGACATAAAGTACACAGAAAGTGGAACCATAGTGTTAGGAAAAAGATGGGTTTGGGGCAACCTGGGTAGCTCAGTCAGTTGAGCATCTGACTCTTGGTTTCAGCTCAGGTCATGATCTCATGGGTGGTGAGAGTGAGCCCTGTGTCAGGCTCCATGTGTGTGCTCTTTCTCTCAAACAAATAAATAAATCTTTTTTTAAAAAGATGGGTTTTCCTATTTTTAAATGAGTAGTAAAGGGAGGACTGTGAGAGAAATAAAGGGGAATAAAGTTATAAAGCCTTAGTAAGAGTACATGCTCTTAGCAAGCAACAGAAGAAATGGAAAGACAAAAACAATAAACCAACAGAGTAGGGATAGAACTAGGTACACAGAGAGAAATGCAATGAAAAGACTCACAGAATACTTGCTGAAGGAAAACAAATACAGCCACTTTGTAAAATTAATTTTATTTTTTTTTATGCAAAAGAGAGTGATGGTTCTAACATATGCACATGGTCTCAAAATTTTGCACATAAATTGGGGGGGTTCACACGTTAAAGAACTGGCTTGATTTGAAGTTTCCTTTTAAGGGTAGATTTGTTTGAAGGCTTAAAATGGTGAGAGGGAATCAGATCTTTTGGTCTTCAACGTTTTCTGGTGCCAGGAAGCACAGGACCACTTGGTTCCAGATGATAGAATGCTTCTCACACTAAAGCTAAAACATGAATCTTGCCAAGGAATTAGGGAGTAATTTCACTCTCCACCCCGGGGCCTTGAGCTGGGCTAAAGGATGAGGACTGGACACGGGAACACCCTCCACCCTGCCTAACCTGTCCTAAGCAGAGAAGAAAGGAGTGTCAAGTGTGGATCAGGCTAAGCAGGTCTAGAGCAGAACAAGAAGATAGACCAAAAAACTAGGCAGTGCGGAAGGAAGACCTTCAGATCAGAGACCCACAGTGTCTTTATGTATCTTTGTAGCTCACGCTCCTCATGGTGCTCCACGAGGGCAAAGAACAAGGCACTAGGAAATCTGATATCATCACTCTCCTGTCTTAAATCTTCTCGCCTTCCCCAATCTCAGCTGTATAAAGACCACGCTCCTTCATGTGGTTCACTGGCAGGCCTCACTCCCTTGCCTCCCCTACAAGTTATAGTAACACCAAAGTGCTGGTCGCCCCACAAACATATGGCACATATTCTGTTGTTCACCTGCATGACTCCATCATGTCATGTTGAGACAATTTCCTTCTACTCCCTCCCCTCCAACCTGTGTTTTCCTGGCCAACACTTAGCTATTGGTAAGACTCAGCCTGGGTGTCTCTTCTATCAGGAAGCCTTCCTATCCATCCTCTCCCCTATCCCCAGTGAGTTGTGTCTTCTTTCATGCGAGCAGATGACTTTGGGTTTATGGTCACACTTCCCACATTGTTTGGTAATCCAGTTTCCATGTCTGTCTCTCTGCTACATTGGGAGTCCCACAAGCATGCTACATGTATTCATTGCTTGGTTTCTTCTCTGTCCACCCTTAGAGAATGTAAGCTCCACAGAGTAGGTGATTTTGGCAATTGTCTTCACTCCTGAAAATCCAGGGCGTAGAGAAGGGCTGGACACATAGTAGATGCCTGAAAAATATTTGTTGAATGAATGTATGAATTGAAAAAAATAAGGAAAAGCCTGTATTAGAGCCCTAGCACATACTAAAATCTTCAAGCAGAGGAGCAAACTCAGGCTTTTTATATAGACCTCTGCACCCATGCCTATTTGTTTAATGACTGGAGCCAGCCCTCTTCCACATGCTAACCCAGCAGGCTGCAACACTGTAAAGCAGAGACCGCCAAGTCTGAGTGTCTTGTAAAAAATCCTATGAATCAGTCGCAAACCTTAAAACCATATTCAGGAGCTCCTGGTAGTACATGTGAAGTCTAATAAAAAGGAAAAAACTGGAAATCTTTTCTCACAAGCCTTGATGTCTTCATGTTTTATACGAACAGATTAAGTTTTATAGAAAAAAAAATCAGAGGTTATACTTTCTATCCATTAAAAAATTACATAAGACCTAGAATGCAAATAGTCCATTTCTGTCTAAAAAGTATAAAAAGAAGTATCTGTCTAAAGTATGACATCTAGTCCTGATGTCTGAGAGTACTTTCCTGAATTTTTGATGCCTAAACGTTCCCTGCTTGTAAAACAGTCATATATTCAGTAGTTTGGGGGGACCCTCTCAGAAAGGAGAGCATTCTCTGGTTCTTCTGAGAAGCTACCTATTATCAGAGTGTGTCACCGTATATGCCATAATTGGACCTCGGTAAAAATCAAGAATGGCAATCTATAACTGTTTGGAAAAGTGACTGTCAAGATGATCATTTTGCAGAACTAGCTAGGAATGAAAAGTGAAAATAAGAATAGCAATGGATATCTGGAAATTGGAATTAATTTAATGGAAGATCCATTGCTCCATACATTGTCTTTCATGAGACCTCACCCATGTGTGTTACTTGCAGAGTGTGCTCTAGGACCAACCACGGTCATAGTTTTCACTATAAAATAGATGACTTTTGCCACTGGGGGAAGATAAGACCCCTTTATATTCCTCATGTTATCCAGATCACCTTCCTTAGTATGTGCTTGTACTGTCATCCAATGTTAATGACTCAATATCTGTATTAAAGGATAGTGTCAGAACATGAAAAAGTGCTCAACATCGCTCAGCATCAGGGAAATCCAAATCAAACCCTCAGTGAGATACCACCTCACACCAGTCAGAATGGCTAAAATTAACAAGTCAGGAAACGACAGATGTTGGTGGGGATGCGGAGAAAGGGGAACCCTCCTACACTGTTGGTGGGAATGCAAGCTGGTGCAGCCACTCTGGAAAACTGTATGGAGGTTCCTCAAAAAGTTGAAAATAGAGCTACCCTATGACCCAGCAATTGCACTACTGGGTATTTACCCCAAAGATACAAATGTAGGGATCCGAAGGGGTACATGCATCCCGATGTTTATAGCAGCAATGTCCACAATAGCCAAACTGTGGAAAGAGCCTAGATGTCCATCGAGAGATGAATGGATAAAGAAGAAGTGGTATATATATACAATGGAATATTACACAGCCATAAAAAAACCCCCCACAAAATCTTGCCATTTGCAATGACGTGGATAGAACTAGAGGGTATTATGCTAAGCAAAATAAGTCAATCAGAGAAAGACATGTATCATATGATCTCACTGATATGAGAGTTCTTAATCTCAGGAAACAAAGTGAGGGTTGCTGGAGTGGTGGGGGTGTGGGAGGGATGGGGTTGCTGGGTGTAGATATTGGGGAGGGTATGTGCTATAGTGAGTGCTATGAATTGTGTAAGACGGATGAGTCACAGACCTGTACCTCTGAAACAAATAATACATTATATGTTAAAAAAAAAAAAAAGATAGTAGGAAGGGAAAAATGAAGGGGGGGATATCGGAGGGGGAGACGAACCATGAGAGACTAGGGACTCTGAGAAACAAACTGAGGGTTCTAGAGGGGAGGGGGAGTGGGGGGATGGGTTAGCCTGGTGATGGGTATAAAGGGCATGTACTGAATGGAGCACTGGGTGTTAATTAGCAAACAATGAATCATGGAACACTACATCAAAAACTAATGATGTATGGTGATTAACATAATAAAATAAAATTTAAAAAAAGAACAAAAAACTAATGATGTAATGTATGTTGACTAACATAACATAATAATAAAAAAAAAAGATAGTGTCAGAAATCACATAGTACCAGTGGTGTACGATGTGGAAGATATTCATCAAACAAGTTCACCTTTCAGCTAATGCTGTATAGTGCATATATGAAGGAAGTGCTTGATGACTTTTGGTTATTGTAATACAGAAAACCCATAACAGAAGAGATCTTTATATTAATTGGGGGGACACCTGTGTGGCTCAGTCAGTTAAGCGTCTGCCTTCAGCTCAGGTCATGATCCCAGAGTCCTGGGATCGAGTCCCACATCCGGCTCCCTGCTCAACGGGGAATCTGCTTCTCCCTCTGCCTGCCGCTTCCCCTGCTTGTGCTCGCTCTCTCTCTCTGACAAATAAATAAAATCTTTAAAAATAAAAGATTGAATGAATGAATAAATAAATAATTTTGGAGCCATTGTGTAGCCTGGAGATATGTTGTGCTCAATTCTGACAGAGGCCCAGATTCTTACAAGATTAGAAGAGTAGCCCCCAAAGGGAAATCCACACACTTGCTTGGTTTTCAGAGATTACTTAGCCATCTACCATAGGGCCTCCTGATTGCAATTTTACGTTTAAGGAAATAGTGAAAATTATACTATGATCAACTTGCAGTTACTGAGTGT